TTAGATTCCCTCAGATAATATGAACCAAACATAGGAATCTGAGTTTTGGAATGTTACATTCCCTTGGTTATGTTATATAACCAAACGCCCCCTTAAAAGCTTCGTAGTAGAACTGCGGCAGCCACAGTCCACACCACCATTATGGATTGGAGATCATTGACTTTTGATTTCACACCCACATGCCACTTGACTCGCTGAAAGCAGCTTAATTTCACCATTTTTCCTTATTTCCTTCGAAAGTTTACATAGTCTATTGTCTGACTGAAGGTCAGGTCGTCTCTTTTGCTGTAATGGCTTTGTTACCCATTTGCTGGATTTATGTTAGTTTTCGTTATTGATTTGCTAACCCAGAATGTAGTCTACTTGTTCTTCAATTCCTCTGTGTGGCCCAAAGAATTAAACTTTTGATTTTCAGCTACTCCAAACTCTCAATGAATGCAATCGGAATCAAGATTCTTTGGTTTTTGAACTCAGTTGCTGAATTTCAATTGATTTGCTTTCTTGATTGAATGCTAACCCAGATTGGATTCCGCTTTTTCTTCAATCCCAAAATGAAGTTTTGAATTTGAGCCACTTCATACTTGAAACACCCAATGCTGAAAATGAAAAATCAAGACTGTAATGTGATTATGTGCCCTCTGTCAGTTTTCATAGTCTTCAGCAGTGTAATGATTTGTATGCCCCTAATACAGTGTAGTATATTGTAATATTTTCCTTATTTCACCTGCAAATTCTACTGTCTCTCTACTCATACTTTATTGGTGGGAGGTTTCTTCTGATGCTGACATTTTCATTTGGTTGTTGATATTCAGAGTTATAAGTTAATATAATAGTATTTGGCTGACTTACATGATATTTTGCCCTTTATGCATAACTGGAGTTTTTTGTGGGATGTTTTCCATCTCATTGATCCTTGTTGTTCCAATTGATATCAGATCAAAGGATGGATGCACTTAGAGTTTTCATGGCCTTGCTGCCGATTTTATTGGCTCTGCTTTGCCTTCAAGGAGTAACACCTCACGGGGTGCAGCCACTGGCAAGGATTGCAGTTCATGATGCAGTGATTGCTTTGGAAGCTAGGGCTTTTATTAATGTTACTCCTCCTTTGCTCGGGTTGAATGTATGCATTGCTTTCTGCTAAGATACATATGAATGAATATGATTATCTAATTGGCGCCTATTAAGTACAAACTCACGGACTATTAGTCTGTGATCTAGAATTTTTTCTCAGGAAATGTTTTCCGGTGTTGAAAAATGGTTCATTCTTGATTTATCAATGTTGTTTATTTCCAGGGCGAAAACAATGAATGGGTTACTGTGGAGTATGGCATGCTAAATCCATCAGGTGATGACTGGATTGGAGTATTTTCCCCTGGAAATTTCAGGTAACGGGAACGTAATGAATTGCTGTACATTTTACAATTTTAATGCTCTAACTCTGAGTTTTGAACAGCAATATATAATTTATATGCGCTTTTAGTTTTTATAAAGATTGTTCACGGTGAGCTAATGTTATGCACTTCTACGAAATATCCTCAGTGCATCAACCTGCCTTGCTGAAAATCGAATGGCAAGTCCACCTTTGTTGTGTACAGCACCTATTAAGGTTTGAGCTTTTCTTTTCCAATAAAATAAAACCTTACCTCATATTACCGAGAGGTTTATTATCGGGATTGAATTTATGACTCTAATGGTCAATGTGGGAGATATCTTCCTTTTATCTAATTACCTCTACTAAAAAGACTAAACACCTTTTAAAATTTTTATGCAGTATCAATTTGCAAATTACTCCAACTCCAAGTACAAAGAAACGGGAAAAGGATCATTGAAGCTTCAATTGATCAACCAAAGATCAGACTTCTCTTTTGCGCTGTTTTCTGGTGGATTATCAAAAGTATGTGTGGTAACCTGATTCTGTGGTAGTATATTAAGAATTTTAGTTATGACTGGTTACTTGTTACTCATAATTCTTCCCCATACACTCATTCTTATACGATAACTTTGGTGCCTGGCCTTGATCAACAGCCAAAGCTTGTGGCAGTGTCAAACGCAGTTTCCTTTGAAAATCCTAACGCACCATTATACCCAAGATTAGCCCAGGGGAAGACATGGGATGAAGTAAGTATATTTACAATGAAACTGATTTTTCTGTACCATCATCTGTTGCCTGTGTCCATTTAATACGGAGTAACATAATAAGTTGAAAGATTGAAATCATTAAAAATTTGTTACTAGATGACTGTGACTTGGACTAGTGGATATGGGATCAATGAAGCGGAGCCATTTGTGAAGTGGGGTCCACAAGGAGGAAAACAGAGCCACTCTCCAGCAGGGACCCTGACTTTTGACCGAAGTAGCATGTGTGGTAAGTTGTGTTAATGTTTGCAAGTGTGGAGTAGAGCTTCATGAATGCTATATATATGGTACAAACAATTTCCAAAATAAGATGTTTATTAGCTGCTTCGTTGAGTTCTTTCTGAATATAATTGAACAGTAAGTAACTTGTAGGACTACTTGAAAAAAAAAATGTGTTAATTTTATTCTTCTGAACTAAGAGAAATTAAACGTGTGTAGGTGCACCTGCAAGAACAGTTGGATGGCGTGATCCTGGATTCATTCATACAGGTTTCCTCAAGGAGTTGTGGCCCAACTCATTGTAGGTTTTATTGTTTCTTCTATTGCTGTAGAACAATCCAATGTTTTCTCTTTTTCCTATGCACGTCAAATTTAGCATTGTAATATTTTGTGTTCACTTTTTAGTACAGATATTTAGCTCGTGTTCCATTTTGTTATTTTACAGGTATACCTACAAGTTGGGGCATAAGTTGTTAAATGGCACATATATATGGAGTCAGAGTTACCAATTCAAATCTTCTCCTTACCCTGGTCAAAACTCTGTACAACGTGTAATCATTTTTGGTGACATGGGAAAGGTTTGGACTTTACATAACAGAAATAGATTATAACTAAATTATATGCGTTTAACTAAATATACATTGGTAGTATATGGTACAGATTTCTTATCCACTTGTCAACCCGTAGGATGAAGCTGATGGCTCCAGTGAATATAACGACTTTCAACCTGGTTCCCTTAATACCACCAAGCAGCTGATAGATGATCTAAAAAACATTGATATAGTCTTTCACATTGGAGATATCTGTTATGCCAATGGATATATCTCGCAGTGGGATCAATTTACATCACAGATAGAGCCAATTGCTTCACGTGTACCTTACATGATTGCGAGGTAAATGCAAATCCATTGCAGAACTTGTTTGAGCACATTCTACCTTTCTGCCTTTAGTTATAAGTAGTCGTTTGTGTTTTGCAGTGGCAATCATGAGCGTGATTGGCCTGATACAGGTTCTTTCTATGGCAACATGGATTCTGGGGGTGAATGTGGTGTGTTGGCTCAAAATATGTTTTACGTTCCTGCAGAAAACAGGGAAAAGTTCTGGTATGGTTTCGTGTATTACAATCTTTTTTTTTTTTTTTTTTTTTTTTCCCACTTTACATCATTCATACATTTGAAGTTACTTGTGTTGAGCATATAACCATTAATGCGCGATCCAACTATCAGTTTAGGCTTTTAGTTGAGATGGAGCACATGATTCAATTTGGTATCAGAATCTCTACGTCACCCGATAAGCGACTACGGTCCACGTGTTGCAGGTACTCTACTGACTATGGCATGTTCCGATTTTGCATTGCTGATACGGAACATGATTGGAGAGAGGGCACGGAGCAATACAAGTTCATTGAGCACTGTCTTGCATCTGTGGACCGACAGAAACAACCATGGCTCATTTTCCTTGCCCATCGTGTACTTGGTTACTCTTCTGGTGATTTCTACGCTGTTGAAGGATCATTTGGCGAGCCTATGGGAAGGGAAAGCCTTCAAAAGCTTTGGCAGAAGTATAAAGTTGATATCGCCATGTATGGTCATGTGCATAATTACGAAAGGACTTGTCCCATTTACCAGGTAACCCGAGAAGATTTGATGATACTATTCTACCAAACATCATCAACTTCCAATTTAGCACTACTTATACTCCCCTTTTTCTTTGTTGCAGAACATTTGTACGAATAAAGAGCAACGCTTCTACAAAGGCACGTTGAATGGGACTATACATGTTGTCGCTGGGGGAGGAGGTGCAGGCCTAGCAAATTTTGCCAACATATCGACTTCGTGGAGTCTTTTCAAAGACTATGACTATGGATTCGTGAAATTAACAGCGTTCGATCATTCAAACCTGCTGTTTGAGTACAAGAAGAGCAGTGATGGTAAAGTCTACGACTCCTTCAGGATATCAAGGGATTATAGAGACATCTTGGCTTGCACTGTGGATAGCTGCCCGAGCTCGACGCTAGCAACTTGATCAATGTAATCTCTCTAGTTTGGTTTTCGCGATTTGGACCGATAAATTCAGCTGCAATTTCTAGATTGTTATAGTACTTCTGCATAGGAAAAAAAAAATCAGTGTAAATTGGATGAATATGGGTCATAAAATGTCACTGATTGAGTGATTGCCTCTTTCAAAACTTCTGTGTTGATATTTCAGCAGTGGATAAGAAATCTATGCCTGTATATGGGACAACCATATGGTGGATTTGTAATAAGGAAAATGCAACTTAAATCAAGTCTTTTTTGTACCATTTTTTGTGTGATTATTTCGAGTATTATAACTATTTTAAAAATATTTTAGAATAGAAAAATTAATTGTTAAACGTGGACAATTTTAAAAATATAAAATAAAATTTACAAAAAAAAAAATCTGAATGTGAAACCATTATACAAGGTTCGGTTTCAATTTGATAGATTCTAAAATGGAAACCGTCAATTCAGAACTAGAATTGAACCGTAGTCATGACTACTACTACTCTGTATTTCTTATGCACGTGCTAAGCGCGTGACTTGTGATTGTGTCGTGGCGCCAAATACAGCTCAAGTTCGTTAATTTTAGAATCCGAAGTTCAGAACGAGACCGCACCGCGTAACAGCCGCTTTGCCTTCCAATCTTGGCGCATTCTTCATTTTGTTAATTTATTTTTCCCAAAACCCTAATTCCTTTATCCCCTCTCTAACCCTTCATCAATTTCATGCCTTTTGTCTTAATTCTCACACGCCCAGAATATCGGGCTTATGTAAACCTGAACTTTATCCAGTTTTACGATGTGCCTTGATATAGGGAATTAAGGAAAATATATTATGCTAATTCTAAGGTATTTTTATTTTTATTTTTTAATTTTAAAAATTTCCTTCCCTGTTCTGTTTTTGAACAGTTCAGGGGTTTTTTGGGTGTATTCATTGCGATTTGCAGTAAATTTCCCATTTTACCTAATTTCCTTATTTATTTTGGAAATTTTAAAGATTTGTTTTTTTCGGTGGGGTTTTCGTTTCTAAAGGTCGTGTGGGGAGAAGATATTTGCCGGAGTCAGCTTCCGGCAAGATCGACAATAGGCAGCATCTTTTGTGGGTAGAGAATGGTTCAATCCAAATGGCTTTCTTTCGATAAAGTAAGTTAAATTTTTTTCCCCTAATTTGTATTTGTTATAGGTTTTAATTGGAATTTTCTGGTTGAGTTCTCTCATGATTGTTAATGGGAAAAGCCTATAAAATGCCATTGGTGATTCCTTGCTCATAATATGAATGTTTTATTGTGATTAAATTCAATAGGAATAAGCCAATAATCAATGGAAAAGAATGAGGTAAAAAGGTTCAAGATAGTTCAGAGTTCTTTGTGAATAGCTGTGAACAAATAGAGTTAAGCACTGAATTTGAACAACTTGCTTATCCCTTTATGAGTTAATATGAGGATTTTAGATTTCAAAAATGTGATGAGCAATTTTGTGTTGCAGTAGCTCCTTTCTGTGTTTATTAAGCAGTAATGGGCAATGGAAGTGAGCTTCAATCTTCGAAACCTCCCCGTTCATCCTCATTGTCGGGGGGAAGTTCTTCACACGACTGCTCCCAATTGTATCCAAAAGCAACAGCGAGCTCTTTTTCATTTTATGAAGCTGGGAATGACAGTAATGATAAGAATGGAAAAGTTTTGAATGCATCTACGAGTTCTGCCCCCACGGTTTCAGATGGTACTGGTGAATATATGGTTCAAAACTGGTCTCCAACTCAGTCTCCTCCCATTCAAGTCATGGAAAAACCAGGAGATTTTGATTTCAATGGAATTTCCTCAACAAGTGATCTCCCTACACAACAATCCTTTTCATTTGGAACTTTGAGTGACAATAAAGATACAAACGGAACCCATTCCAAAATGGAATCTTTTAGTTCTGATGCCTCTAAGACTTCAGAAGTCACTCGTGAACCTGAGGTGCAAAATGAGTCACCAACACATTCGCCTAGCATTCAAGTCATGGAAATGCCAGGAGATTTCGAGACCAATGAAAACCCCTCCTCAATTTCCATGAGCAAGTCAACAGCTTGGAGTAATACTTCCAATGGATCATTATTCAGTATTGATATTGGACCCAATAGCTTTTCCACTGATGGAAATCCAACGACGGATGGAGATTCCTACAAGTCAGGGGAACTTGATACACATGGAGACCTTGCGAGATATAAGCAGATGCCCTTGGGTCCAGAAGGAGCAGAATATAACAAAGAGACCCCAGCTAATAGGCTAGGAGCAGGAAGCACTCGAATTAAAAATGGGGCCAACCAACATGCGGTACCATTAAGAGCAGGTGAGAATGCTCCTAGTCATCTTGTTGGAACCAGAACTTCTAACAAGCCTGTTGATCTTCAAATGTGAGTGACGTTCCTTGCTCTTCTTGATGCGTGTGGACTTTGTCTCTTAAATTTATCATGAGTAGTTTACTAGTTTATTCCAATTATTGCATCAATACTATATGTAAATTGTCGTGAATGTAGATACACACTTTAGAGGGAAAATTATACACACACAGATTGTGGGTTAATGCGATTTCCATTAATTTCCTCAAACATCATTTTGTATGGATGATAAGAAAAGAGAACTCTATGCAATTCTTCAGGACAAAGAAGTCTGAACCAACAGGGCGTAAATGCTGTTGTGCTGGTTTTACCTGTGACTCTTGTTTCTGTTCAAGTCCAAGCCAGTGTGCATGGTTAAGTTGTCGAGGTTGTTGTTGCAAGTGGTTCAGCGGGCTATCTTTCTCTTGTGAGTCTCTACGTTGTAAAGGGTGCTGCAGTAGATGGCCCATAACCTGTCTGTGCTCTTACTTGAAGTGTCCAAGCTGGAAAAGCTGTCACTTTCCCTGCTCGTTCTGCTGCACTTGGAACTGTTGTGCGAAGAACTCACGCTCAAGTATTGATAAGTACGCCCCCCGCTCCCCCTATTGTAACATATATGCTGCAAATTTACCTGTTTAGTTCTTTGGTTGGATGTCTATACCACATAGTAAAACCACCACCCAATGATGCTCAGATCAACTCATAAAACAGTGTTTTATTTTGTTGTGGTTTGCAGTCTGGCAAAAGATGGAGGGAGGATCACCCGAGTAGCAGCATAATTCTTCAAAGACTCTACGCAGGGGGTTTTCTTGCCACTCATGTATATATATATATATATATATATATATATATATTTATAGGAAAATTTTAAAGTGTCGGTTGACACCTGTGATTCTTATACCTGGTACTATTGCAAAGTGAATGGTAAAAACTTTTAATTTTGTGCCGGGTAGAAAGTTAACATTGTCTCCGAGCTCTGATCTGATAAGTTGTGGGTCCCAATATAAGTACCTACATCATGATTTTGTGTGTAGGAGTAAAAGTTAGGAATATAAAGTAGGAGTACAAAGTATTTTTCTTTTGATTTTGATTTTGTACAAGAAACATGGTATTGATTGACACTGAAGCATTTCCCTATATTTATATTTATATGTTCTTCAAAGAAAAGCTGTGTAATTAATTCCCCTTTTATTTTTAAAATAATCAAATACTATGTCTCACCAAAATAATAATAAACAAATAGTAAGAAATGTATACATATATTTGAATTTATATTGGCCCAAGATATATACTCAAGTCAAATAGCTTAGTAATTTGAGTTTGAGCAACTAAAAAAGTTATGCAAGAAATTAATTACAATCTAATAACACGAAATCATTCCTTGGTGGTTCATATTGCATTGTGAACCTTGATACAAAAATTTTGTACCTTTAGTTAACAAATAACTTGATAGGAGTTGTTTATTAGAACCGTTAAAGCACCTAACAATTCAGATGGAACCCACCAAAGCTCGCCCATTTAGCAACAAGAGTTGTTTCATTCCGTCTTAGGTCCGTCAAATTTCTAAAATTTTAAATTTAATTAAAATTTATATAAAAAATTAATTAATGTATATTAAAATAATTTGAATAGTTTAAACGTACATTAATGCATTTGTAATTTTTTAGTACGCATTTATAATTTGTTAAATACAATAATAACTAATAAAGTAAAAAACATAATAAATAATCAAATACATAATGTATAATCCTTAAATCAATAAAAATTATTTATACAATGTATTAATTACTAATACACTTTTTAAATATAAATAAATAACTAAACATATACACTAATATACAAACATTAGGTTCACTACCAAGCTCATCCCGCTAGCTAGAATCCATCAATTTGACAAAACTAAGAGCTAGCCCCATTCTATTTGTAGAACAAGAATTAATAAATCCGTTTTGATGACTCTACTGTTTATGTGTTCTAAGTTTCTGTATAACATTATCTCTCGACTTATAGGGTTAACACAATTAGGATTATTTTTTGTACAAGTGATACCTGTTTAGATAGAAATAAATGTCTAATTTTGCATCTAAGGGTCCTTAGCTCAGTGGTAGAGCATTTGACTGCAGATCAAGAGGTCACCGGTTCGAACCCGGTAGGGCCCTTTTTGTTTTTCCTATTTCTGCAAAATAGAGATATAAGTTTCTAAATTAAACATAAAAAACACAAGACTCTGTGGCCCAATGGATAAGGCGCTGGTCTACGGAACCAGAGATTCTGGGTTCAATCCCCAGCAGAGTCGCTTGATGTATAATTTTTTATATAACCCCAAGTATGGGGTGGCATTTCTCCCTAACTCCCTAAGCTAATGAATTCAGTGAATCTTCAAGTATTTTTTTTTTTTTGGTGTCAATCTTCAAGTATTTATTTGTTTTCAAATTCAAAAGTAAAGCATCAATTCATCACAAATCAACATTATTACATTAAAATACACCACACACAATGACAAAAATGATTATTTTTTTCCCTTAGGAATGGGATGTTGATATAAGCAAACTATATTAATCTTAGACAAAATCCGGAGTGGTTAATAAAAGCAAATTATACTAATCTTAAGCAAAATCTGGAGTAATTAACCTGTTTGTGGCTGGTATATGTAAGTTCTGGCCTTCTTTAGTCAGCAGCATTTGGCAGGGCAAAGACTTTTCTTCAAATATCTTATTGTACTTCTCTACCTTTTGTCCAAATCCAAATGCCTCAGGAACACACCATAAACCAGCTTTTCTGGAAATGGACCTCTTCTATATCATCATCTCAGGCCTTAGTAGTCCACCCATCATCTCATAAAACTCTCTAAATATCAGCTTCATACACAGCTCTTATATGCTGGGAACTCTTGCCCACTTTCTTGTCACTGAAGCAGAGAACATTGTTGCAGAAAATCGGGTGAAATTCGCCACGATTGAGCAGTGTTGTTCTTCTTCCAGGGCACAGATTCTCATCTCTGCAAATCGGATTGTCTTTCTTGTCTATCGGGATAGATACAACGAAGTACAACTTTTCCCGCCCTCCTATTTCTACTTCTCCTTTTACTTGTATCTATCTTCCTTTCCTTTTCAGCTGAGGGTAGTGACATTGGCACGAATTTAAGCCATCCAAGAGGCAGCAGCGCAGCAAGAAACTGGATTACTATCCCAACCGGGAGACTTGTGTAATTGCCAGATGTTATCCCGAGGAAAGAAGCCAACCCAATGCCTAGAAACCCACTAATTATTGATGAAAGACACAAAGCCGATGCCAAGAATGACATGAGTGATCCTTCGCAGCCTGATGGAGCTGAACTTGCAATAAGCACGTAGAATGGCAAGAGCTTAAACGATGAAATGGTCTCTGCAATGCCCGAAAAGCAAAGAGCAAACACTTCATTTGGAATTCCCATGTTGATATTGAACTGCTTGATTAGTACGAGATCAAGAAGCAGAGAAGCAGCGTACAGAATCTGGACAATGCCACTCAGTTTTCTCATAGAAATATTCTTCCCAAACCGCTGGTACAAAACAGTCATAGAGAGAAGCATTAATTGACCGGTCACTTTGGACAACCCGATAATTGATGGGTCAAGATTAAGGGATTGTGTCTGGCAGCAGAAGATGGAACCAGAAAGGACTGGCACTGCCAAAATGGATACAACGATCCATATAAGGGGACGGTAGATGCTTTCATCTCTAATGGCAACCATGAGATCAGAAAACTGCCTTTTTATACTTTCTGGGATTGATTTCCTTAAAACAGTATAACTCGAAGACTCAGCCAAACCAAGTGATTCTTCCCTCATTGAGAGCGACATTGCTAACTGGACTGCAAGTAAAGCTGTAAAGGCTTGAAACATGGCACTGGGTCGTTGTGTTTTCATTAAGAAATATCCCCCGAGTAAGTTGGCTAGCATCCCTCCAGCAGCTGAAGCCATGAATGCATAAGATTGAATACCAGGCATCTCATTTTTCTGACCATATTCTGCCACTAGAGCATCCTTGGCAACTTCTGTAATTGAAGCTCCGAGGTTGCTCAGAAGAACACATGCCATAAGAGCGGGAAGCGCTTCACTTACAGAAGATATTAGTGCTAATTGACCCCAAGCCAAAACCTGGAGGAAAACTGATGAATGAATGAATATACCCGTCAGGATCTTTAAATCAAGCAAATCATCAAACAATCAAACCATGTATAGACTCTACGACAAAATGAAGCTAAGAATATTCCATTGCCTCGATAAAGCTAATTGCTCCATTTCCTTTCACGATGTGAGGCTTTTCAATTTTTACAGTCTATCAATAAAATCTATTTCACAACTTTGATGAGTAAAGAAATCCAATATTATCATTAACTAAACCTTTCAAATAAAAAAAGGAATGGACTTTTGCTTGCTTTGTAAACTAAAAATCTCATATTCCTAATCTGCAAAGAACCTTTCTTGTGACAAGAGGAAACTAAAAAAACTTTTCTTGTGATGACAGGAAACTAAAAGGTGCAGTTAACTACTTTACTTTATGCTTCTATCACACGGGCATTTGCTTATTGACGTTCTGATTATCAGCAGAAATGCAATTAACTAACAGTTCATAATATCAATTTAAGCAAAGCATAAAATCAAGAAACCAATGAGAATTACCTAGCTAAGGCAAACCAAGAAAGCAGTTCAATAATTTACCTCCAATGGATATGTAAGGCAATCTGTGATCACCTCCAATATATAGAGTGTCAGACAAGATCCCATAGAGAGGCTTGGCAACAAAAGGGAGGTTCCCGGAGTTCTGAACAAGCTGCAATGTAGAAGGGTGCATCTTCATCCCATGAGCCATGTGGAGGTTGAGAGCCAGCCATGGAAATGCCCTGAAGCCTTGAACCCAATACCCAAACCCACACAAAACCATCATCTGTTGTCTCCCCACTTGGGCACCCTTCTCCTCAACCACCCCTCTTTTCCTGGGCTTTTCGGGAAGAAGAGGAGCTCCCCCCTCTTCGGCTATTACGATTGGGTTTATCAGCTGCTTATCAAACTTTGCCCTCCAATACTTGTCAATGGCACCCTTTAGGCACGAAGGATTCCCATTCTTTGCGCAAGAAATGAGCAACAAAGATTGAGTCTTTCTCCTGCTTTGGATTCTTGAACTGCCTACCACTACTGGGTTTCCATTAAACCTCACGGCAGAAATCATGGTTTTTAGCTTTTAAGCTGAATTCAACATAAAAGTTCACACTTTATTATTGCTGGTCGAGCCACGAATTTCTGAAACAAGAAGCTTGAAATAGCAAGCTAGCTAGCAGGAGACGATTAAGAGGGATCTAGAAAAGCATAGGGAAGAGTGAGAGTGAATAAATTTAAGAGGGTTCTAGCTGATGCCCTCAGGCAGCAGCCAAACGGGCAAACAGCCCATACCTTTCTTGGTAGATCTTAAGGGACCCAACCACTTACGTCAAAGTAGCACTGTCCCACACGCGCCAAATGTACGTCGCAGGTTGCTGGTCCAAAACGACACTGCTGAACTCCAGGTATATATTTGACAAGACAAGAATCAAATTAACCTCTTGGACAGACCATTCTTTTTGTAATGTTCAATCTATTTGTGGGAGAAGCAAAGAACCACGCACGTTAGTAATCAGCGGTCGGAATAAAGTTTCGTTTCTGATTACTGACTAATGACTTAATTTCGGCGGCTAATCCAAGATTCCAGGTGTCAAGGTAAGAATTACCGAAAAATTAACGCAACATGAATGATTGTAATGCCAATACTTTATGATGAGAACTGATAGAATTATATTGAATGAATGGTAATTACAAAGGTATAGATCATAGGTATATAAACCAGGAGAATCATATGTAGACTATAATAAGGAGACTAGGATAAAAAGTCATAGATTAACTCAAGTGCATAAAGTCTTAATAATTATGAATATAATATCTCTGGTTGTTACAAGAGCAATGTATTTATACTAAACAATGTTCATATTGATGACAGACTCGATATTTCATTAAGTGCAACAATTCTATATTAAACACAATAACTCTGTATTAAGTGGAACGATTTTTTCTCCTTTATGCTTAGCTATTGGTTGTTACCATTTGATTGTCTTAATTTATTTTTACTATTTATGTTGAACTAATGTTTCCAGTTAAATCTAAGATAGTGTAATTATCTAATCACCCGAACCCTAGCTTTTAGTTAGTAATCAATGGTTAACAAATTTATTTTCAAACGCGCCATGGCGTTGCTGCTTGATGCAAGGATTTCTTCCAAAAGTTGAATCCCAACCCTAAGGGTCCCACACTCCGACCTGACAGAACACTTAGGAGGATGTAAATCATGGTCACTCAACTGAACATGAACCACAGAGACTATACATTTGCTCACTGCGCACAAGGAGTTCCCCTCATTTGCATTATAAGGAGTAAGAGTAATATTATATTTACTCTTACTTTCTATATTTTATATTCTTTATTGAAGTGTCATGTTTTAATTGATCTAAATAAATTGTGAGTCATTATTTTTGTTTATTCAAGTTTACTATCCAATAAAAATTGTTGTACATATGGTGAGAGAGTTATACTCCAGATAAACACATCTATCATATCATTTGTATGGACTGTGGTATCGCACTATCACCTACATATATGTCTTGTTGAGTTGTTGTATGAGTATTAAATGTATAATATAAAGAATTGAAATAGCTACTTTTATAATATAAAGAAGAAAAAAAAAAAACTATCTTTCCCACCATATGCGTACCATACTTTTATATTTATAAATTAAATTATTATATCACATTATCATATGAGAAAAAAAGGTTTATCATTTTCATTTGTTAAGGTAAATTATATCGTGCACCAGGGTAATGCATTGTATGTCCTGGCCTAAAACGATTTCGTTTTGTATATGTGTTTTTTTTATAGAAATTTCGTTTCCTGTTTCTGCCGTTAACTCTTAAAAAAATCTCATGTTTCGTATGTACAGAATTATATAGTAGAATACACATAAACTCCTAACATAATACATAATATATAATACATAGAAACTCTTAACATAATACACATAAACTTTTAACATAATACAGAGAAACTCTTAACAGAATACACATTAACTCTTAACATAATACACAAAAACTCTTAACAGAATACACATAGACACAAGTCTTAAAACAAATGTAACGAAATTGTTAATTATTAATACTTATAAAAACGATGTTATTTTGGACCAGGATGCACACTGGATTGTGTGATTTGGTGCACGATATAACGATTGATTTGTTAATATGTGGTCTTTATTTTGTATTTAATTTAAAAAGAGGTTGTCAATACTTAATTGGGCCTTTGGATAATTAAGTTATATTTGGGCCTTATTTGATTTAAGTATTTCCTCTTTAAATTACAGAGGCTTAAAAGTTGCAGACTGGAACTAAAAGCCGTTCCATGCGGGTGGACCCAAACGGCCCAACCCAACACCTCGCTCGCATAACGTAAAAATCAATTCCCCATACGCCCCAACGTGGCTCATGTAACGTCAACGGAGCAATACAAGTTGCCACGTGCCAATGATGTCGTCTTTTTCCTCAAACGCCGCTTCTTACTTTCGTGGACGTTAAAGCCGCCGTACCATTACAACTTACAAATATCCCCAACTATTTTGTCCCCAATTGAGAAGTTTCGGACACGTTACATGTCCCTATCTCCCACGTGTCCCGTACCCATTGGTCTCGCGCCGTGATCTCCTCCCTCAAAACTGGCAGCACAGTCTATATTAAAGAATTGGACTCTCAACTCATATTCCTTAAATTTTATTCGCTGTTGTGATGGCAATGGATATATTACTTTTTCTATATGGGTTTCAATACAAATGTTTATATCAAAATTTTGTATGTAAGAATAAAAATTAAGAGTCAAAAATAGAGTACATATATTACTTTCTTATATTAAATTATACTAGTATTTTCACCCGTGCGTTGCACGAGATTGATTTGTTATAATACTTTAAAAATATTTGAATCGATATACAAATATAAATTATAACAATGAATATTATTCAATTACCCGTGCAATGTGCATGCGATGCACAAATAACTTTATATATATATATATATATATATATATATATATTATATATATATATATATATATATATATATATATATATATATATATAGATAATAAAATTAAAGATGAAATTATAAACAATGTTATATATTGTTGAACCAACCTCGGGGCTCATGAAAGCTTTGTTGGGGTCTTCCACAATGGGGAAATAGTGCCATTATAATCAAGAAACATGGCGATCTTCTTCCCTTTGGGGGGAAGTCACTATATCATCAATATTGTTGAATATAAATATGAATTTTAATATTATTTTATTATATTACGAATATGAATTTTAATGTAGAACTGTAATACGAATAGGAAAGTAGGAAACAATATATTCTATTAAGAATTGTATTACACTATTTTATAATAATATTAGAATAGTATAGGACTATTTTGGGTGGGAAATTAAAATGGGGGATTTTGTTTTTATAAATAGTATAGAAGTATAGATTTTGTTTTGAGAAAAAAAAAAATACTACATCCATCTCATTTTATGTGTTTGGTTATGTTAACAATGTTTGATTGAAGTTATTTTTAGTTCAAATTTTCATAATATTATATTTAATATTAGTATACAAAATTTATATATTTAAAAACTACACTGAAAGTTCTATTAAACAAAAAAAAAATCTAATTAAAAAATAAGTAAAAAATAATATTAAAAAAAAAAACAAATAAGAAAGAATTATTTTGACCAATGAATAGTAAATATGACAGATAAAATGAGACGGGGAGTATTAAATTAGATTAGACTACTAAAATCATCTCAATGATTTTTTGCTCTTTTTTTTATTTTTATTTTTATTTTATATAAGTTTGTAAGAGAGGTCGAAAGGGAAAAGGAAAAAAAAAATATAAAATAAAAATTGCTCATGCTTTTTACACATCTGCTGAGTGTTACCGATGCACCTAATAGCCACATACAAAGTCAATTATTTTTTGGTTACACTAGATCGCACAAAAAATTCAAGTTCTGTTGAAGTGTTATTTCCTGATCTCTTCTCTCACCTCTCTCTTCCACATAAACTAAAAATTTATAAATAAATAAATAAATAATCCTAAAATACATTGTTGTGGATACTATAAGAAAAAGGATAAGGAGATAAAAAGGAGGAAAAAAAATATAAAGAAATACTAATCATGGTGGCTACCAATTGATGGTCACCCTAATGCACCCAACGGATGCCTCTATAGTGCGCTAGATATGCACAAGCTTTCGTATTAATTTTTTTTTTTTTTTTTTTAATTTTGTGCAATCCACAAAAAAAAAAAAAAAAAAAAAAAAATTATTACAACGGGGATTTATAATTTTTTAAAATATTTGTATTAATATTTTTAGATTAATAAAATACACAAATCTTATTAAAAATTTAAAACATAATACATTGTATAAATTATTTGTAATATATGTATCAATATTAATTATTATGTGCATTCAAAAAAATATTAATTATTATGTATTTATGTGTGCTTTGAATTACTAGTGGTCAGATTAATGTGATAGTAATGATATTCGTGCGACATTATCATTCCACTTATTTAACATATAATTGCTCTTACATATTGGAATTATTTTTCTCTTTATATATGTACTTTTATATTTATTTTCATTTGTTTCATCACCATCTTTTTTGTTAACTGCGTAATTTTCTATCTCGTATTATGTGTATGTGTAATTAATATATAACCTAAATATAACCATTTTGGTTACGTGAATGGTCGCGTACTCTCATTCTTTAAGAGATGTCGAGAGTTTGAACCCCTTTTTGTATGTAAAAATCAATTTGGCCAGCAGTTTGTCCTTTAGTTGAGTTGGTCCGGTGATAGGATTTAAAGGTGTGCCTGACCAAAAAAAAATATAAATCCTGTTTGGTAAAATAGTTAGTCCATCAATCAATTTTGACTTATTTGATCACTATTAACTATTTAACTTGGTTAAACAATCAATAAGATTATTTGATTAATTAGCTTTTTGTAACAACTTATTATTCCAAAATGCTAAAATTTCAAAAAGTTGCTCAAAATAACTTTTTCGGTAAGCTTTTTGAGAAAGTCATTTTGTATGTAATCAACTAATAGCTAATTTACCAAACACTTTTCTACAATCAGCTAATGTTATCAACTAGTCAAATCCAATAACTCAATCAGCTAACAATCATTTACCAAATACTCATATCACATGTGAGAGGTCACTACATGCAATCTGAGTATAAAGTTATGGATTGAAAAATTTTGAACTTACTCATTGTAGTTCAACTTAAAGTTAGAACGAGTTTATAACGATCGAGTTCATCCTTTTAACCAACCTCATTTTCTATATTTATAGACTATATATTTGTCCTAATTATCTCATAAAGAGTTAGTTGACATTTTATCCCATTTGTGGATATCTTCGATAGGTAAGTCAAAATCATGGAAACCAAACAGGGTTCAACCATGATTCTTGTTATTAGTAGTTTGATTTTTATTTTGTATTGAAAAAATTACAATTTTGATCCCTCAATTGTTTTTAAATTATCAATATAGTTTATAATTTTCAATTTCAACTAATTCGATACTCAATTATTTATAATTTCGTTAATTAAACTTTTCGAAAATTAAATTGGCGAAAATTTTAAAATGAGAAAATTTCTATTTTGATTCATCGAAAGTGTTTAATTGATAAAATTTTAAATAATTTAATAATAAAAATTTTTAAATTGAAAATTAGGAATTACACTAACACTTAAGAAACAATGGAAGGACATGATTTTTTTTTTTAAAATCAAATTGATATTTGACTCCAAACGCGTGTGGTATACGCATTAAGCGCGTTTTCGTCTGGAACCTTCACGGTTATCCTCACCGTCCCCTCACGTGAATCCAAGCAAATCCATACCTTCCCTCCCTAAAACTCCGCCACGTGTCTGATGCCCACGTGGCACTATTATAACGGTCCATTACATTTATAATTCCACCCGAATATTCACAAAATCCTATAAATACCGATCTTAGCTTCATTTCCCTCATCCGTATCACACAGCTTCAATACATTATCTTAACACTCAAAAAACAAAAATTTTAGATCGATCGTTGTGAATCACAATTTTTTTTTTTTTTTTTTAGTTTAAACTATTTATTTTCATTTTTTTTAGTAATTATACAAATATTTCGGGGTGTTTGTTTCTGGATAATATGGCAATGAGTTTACCGCACCAACTGACTGCAATTTCCGGAACACCGATAGCAGTGGAGACGGGAACAGTCTCCGGGGAGGGACCGGCAAAGGCGTCTGTGGTAACACCGGCGTTCTGGAAGAATCCAGCGACGAATCTCCGAGTTTCGGTGCGGAAATCGGGAGCAGAGGTGGACCGCGTGTCACCGTCGCCGCCGCTTAGTCCGATGAGGGGAGATTTGCGGCCGGATCTGACAGCGGCGTGCCAGGCGTTAATGGAGGCGCCGACAGTGGAGAGAGAGTATAAGATGGGGGATTTGGGGCATGAGAAGGGTAAAGGGGTTCCGGTGTTCGTGATGATGCCGTTGGACTCGGTTAAGATGGATCACACGATGAACCGGAGGAAGGCGATGAATGCTAGCTTACAGGCGCTGAAGAGCGCCGGAGTTGAGGGGGTGATGATGGACGTGTGGTGGGGCCTGGTGGAGAAGGACTCGCCCGGCGAGTACAATTGGGGCGGCTATGCTGAGCTGCTGGAAATGGCTAAGAAGCATGGCCTCAAGGTTCAGGCCGTCATGTCCTTCCACCAGTGTGGTGGAAACGTCGGAGATTCTTGCACGTAAGTACTCTATTTTCTTATTATATTGTTTTCTGCTCTAAATTCCGTGAGTTCACATGGGGTTTCAGATCTTCTAGGAAGTGTAGTTGGAAAAAGTAAAGTAAGCTTTCATTTAGACTTCAATTTCTTTGCTTGTATTGAACTATTAATTAAAGTACCCAAAAAAGGTTCTCTTTTTTCATGGGGTGGGGTCTTAGCTTGATTTAGAGGTGCAAAGAATTGGGTTTTAAAGTATCTTGAAAAACAGGAATAAGAGACACTGAAATGCACATTTTTAATTGTAGCATATTTATTTGATACTTTGATTTTATTATATTCTCCGGTTCCTGAATTCATGGTATCTATGAAGTTGTTCTTGCATCTTTGGACATGCACTTCCACCTATTAGCTTATTAAACAAAATCCAATTTTTGTTTTCATTTCCAATTCAGGATTCCTCTCCCGAGGTGGGTTACTGAGGAGATGGAGAAGGATCCGGACCTTGCATACACAGATCAATGGGGGAGGAGGAATTATGAGTATGTGTCACTTGGTTGTGATACCCTTCCAGTCCTAAAAGGAAGAACACCTGTCCAGTGTTATTCTGACTTCATGAGGGCTTTCAGAGACAGATTTGAGCACTTGCTGGGTGACACTATAGTGGTAAGTTTCTATATTTGTATTTGCCAGACAATATTGAATTATTGAGCTATGCTTTAATTTAATTTGTCTAAATTAAGGTTTCTTAAATGTTTGCAATTTAGGAAATTCAAGTTGGCATGGGTCCAGCTGGAGAGCTCCGTTATCCTTCATATCCAGAGCAGAATGGGACATGGAAATTCCCTGGAATTGGGGCTTTTCAGTGCTTTGATAAGGTATATATAGATTAACTCACTTTTGTTTATAGTTGCATAAATCTTTAGAAGATGCTTGCACGAAGTTACACCAAATGTAGTGAGCTCTCTGTATGCACCAGTTACTCTTCAATGGATCGTTGAGTTTCTATGATTTATCCTTCTTCTATTATCTTTTGGGCCAAGATGTAAGGTCTTGGGGCGAGGCAATAAATGATTAGAAGATGCAAATTGTGTAGTTTCTCACATGGTGTTGATGCCATGTTTGCAGTACATGATTAGCAGCCTGAGAGCCACAGCTGAAGCAATTGGTAAGCCAGAATGGGGGCATAGTGGCCCGACAGACGCTGGCCACTACAACAACTGGCCTGAAGACACAAACTTTTTCAGGAAAGAAGGCGGTTGGACCACCCCGTACGGCGAATTCTTCCTCTCTTGGTACTCCCAGATGCTTCTGGACCATGGCGAGAGGATACTACAATCAGCCAACGCTATATTCGACAACACGGGCGTCAAAATATCAGTGAAGATTGCCGGAATCCACTGGCACTACGGCACCCGATCCCACGCCCCAGAGCTCACCGCCGGCTACTACAACACCCGTTTCCGAGACGGCTATCTCCCCATCGCCCAAATGCTCGCCCGCCACGGCGCCATCTTCAACTTCACCTGCATCGAGATGCGCGATCACGAGCAGCCCCAGGACGCCCAGTGCGCTCCCGAGAAACTGGTCAGGCAAGTAGCCTTAGCCACCCAAGAAGCCCAGGTTCCCCTTGCCGGGGAGAACGCGCTGCCACGATACGACGATTACGCGCACGAACAGATACTCAGAACTTCCGCATTGAGCATCGACGAAAAGTCGGGTGATAGAGAAATGTGTGCGTTCACCTACTTAAGAATGAACCCAGATTTGTTCCAGGCTGATAACTGGAGAAGGTTTGTGGCGTTCGTGAAGAAAATGAAGGAAGGTAAAGATGTGCATAAGTGTTGGGAGGAATTGGAGCGGGAAGCTGAGCATTTTGTGCACATAACTCAGCCATTGGTGCACGAAGCTGCCGCCCTCATGCATTAAGAAGAGCTCTACCACGATCATCTCTATTTTTTTATTTCGATCTTCTGTATTTTAAAATGTATAATAGTGTAAGATAGAAAGAGGGATGATTACCTTTAAAATAATATTGCATGGAAAATTTTAATTCATATATCCTTTTGAACATTACAAACCATTAATTTCGAAATCTTAATACTACAATTTCAGCAAAGTTAGTTAGATGATCGACTTGATAATTACACAATTACATTATAATTTATAAGTTAAGGATGACTTCTAGACAATTTTAACTTAATTTATGAGTTAATTAATTATTAATAATTTAGATTAATTTAATAAAGATCATTTTTAGACTCACAGATTCTTTTGGATCACTATAAACTAATTAATTTAGTTTTTCTTGTCATATTCTTTTTCTTCGGCATAAATTATTAATAATCAACAATATGATAACGTAAAGAGGATCAAATAAGCTTTACGTATATCTAGAATGAAGCTACCCGAAGTTGGATCAATAATTATTTATATGAATGTAATGTCTTTTCATGAAATATTAATAAATATGTTATAATAATTTCATATAAGTGGTGGGGGATAGGATGTTTACCCTTATTTTATTATTTTGGAGCATTTGAAATGCTTATAATAATTCTTCCAAAGGTTGAATCCCAATCCTAAGGCTCCCACACTCCGACCCAACAGAGTATTTGGGAGGATGTAAATCATGGTGATTTAACTGAACATGAACCATAGAGACTAGCTATATCGGTGCTCACTGCGTACAAGGAGCCCCCTCACTTATAATAATTGATAATATGATATGTTGGTAATTATCTTATTCATAGTTTGAACTAGTTAATTACTTTATACAACAACAAAAATTATAATTTTATAACTATAAACGAAAGTCAGCATTAATGTTCAAACTTATAAATGAAAGTCAACCCACATGTGTGATGGATATTAGAACTCTTTTTGTATCATAAAAATCGTATTGTAATTTCAATTTTATGACTTTTGGTATGTGGTTGACTCTAATGCTAAATTAAAATATGTGTTCTATTTCAACTAATAAGTTAAACTGCTAGTTGAATTATATATTTATGTTTATATATTATATATATGATCAAGCTATCTTATTTGAATAACTACTCCAACAAGTTTATCAGGGAAGAATTTGCTTCAGAAAATATTACAACAAATATTATATTCCAATCCAATGACTCCCTAATCCAACATTTTTTCCTGGCAGGTCGGTTTGTCTTTTCTAAATATGAACACATACATACATTATTCATGCATGCGGGACAACGAAGTGATGGAAATAAATGATAAATATAGGAGATAAAAAAGCATACGTTTCCTTGCGTTGAAGTAAAAGAGTTGTGGTTCCTACGTTTCACATGAATCTTGCCAATTGCCAAAGCCCAAAGGTTATCACATCTCATCTTCAACTACAAATACCTGTATGTGGCCTCAATTTAAGATAGCATCAGTCATGTGAATAGAAATTAGAAAGTCAAGAGTGCACAACCCCAGTTAGAACTTAGAAGCCAGAAAGAAGTTATAGGAAAAAGAAAAAAATAAACATCATAAAATTAAAAAAAAAAGGACGTTACTAGAGATTCCTACAATTATCACTCCTTAAGAGCAACCACATTAGTATAGTTTTTACACACGTTTTTAGGAGCCAAGTATAAGAGTATAAGGGAGGTAAAAAAAACAAAGAAAAAGAGTTGTTAGAAAAAATGTTTAAAAAAAAAAAAAAAAAAAAAAAAAAGAAAATTGTTTGGTTAACATGCCCCGTTGGGTGCTTCTGCGCCTCCCGTGTACCAACAACATTTTTTTTTTTAAATTCTTTGGGTGAGGCCCATTGTGGAGACAAAAAACCACCTCCTCTTGCAAGCACCTTAAACATTCTCTCTTTCCTATCCAAAGTTAAAAAAATCGATAGGCGCTAGATAGGCGTTGATTTTATTTTATTTTTTTAAATTTAATTTTTTTTTAATTAATTAAACTCCCGCCTAGTCCACGGCGACCTACTTGGCGCCTAGGCGGCCAGGCGCCTAAGCGGCCAAACGCCTAGAACAGCGATTCCGCCGAATTTCTAGGCACGATTTTTGCAACATTACTCCTACCTCACATTTGACCCACAGAAAACTAACCAAATTCTACTAATTCTTCCCAAACCTACTAATGGAAATACTCTAAGCAGTCATTTTTAAAAAATTCTTTTTATTAGATATATAAATTCTTTATTATCTCAATGAGGAGTATGCCATATTTAGGACAAACTTATTCCATTATCCAAATTATGCTAGAGTGCGGTAGAAACCTACCACATGTTTAGGACAAATTAAACTTATTCCGATCGGTCTCTTTTTATTATTTGAGCTAAGCTAATAACAATGACCTCCAAGCAACTTCATTGTTGGGTTACTTACTTGGCTGAAACTATATCTCATATCCCTAACAAAATTCAATGATCCACAAAATGAATAATCCAAATGTTTTTGTTTTTGAGGTATTTATTTAATTCATGTCTGTTAATCATGTGCAAACTTTTCTATAGCTTTTTATCTTTTTTTGATAGAAAGTATGTTTAATGATTTATTTAATTCATTTCTTAATTTGCATAATGATCTAATACACTAGTAATTTTACACTCCTAACAATCCATTATTCGGGGCAAATTATATCGTGCACCAGGGTGCTAAAAAAAAATATTGTGCACCCTAAGAATGCATGTATATTACGTTAAGAGTTTATGTGTATTATGTTAGGAATTTAAGTGTATTATACTCTACAATTATGTACATATAAAACAGAGGATTTTTAGGACGTACAATGCATTATGCGCCCTGGTGCACGATATAACAATTGACTATTCTATGCTTTGCTTTATGCTGATTGAAAAGGCAAATGATGCTGTGAGCATGTGCCCACCTTGCAAGGTGGACACGGTTTCATATCCATAATTTCTATACTGTAGATTCATAATTTCTGTACTGTAGATCCATAATTTCTAAACTGTAGATTCATAAAATTTATACTTTAGATTCCAATTGTTGAACCCTGTTTTCACAAATCAGAGAACTATATGTTCATAATTTGATAACTATATAATTTAGAAATTATGAATTTACAGTACATAAATTATGAATCTACAGTATAGATATTATGAATCTGCAGTATAGAAATTATGAATCTACTGTATAGAAATTATGAATCTACAGCATTTAAATCTACGGTTTAGAAATTATGAATCTAAAATATAAATTTTATGAATCTACAATATAAAAATTATGGATCTACAGACTATAGTATAGAAATTATGAATCTACAGTATAAAAATTATGGATATGGAACCGTGCTCACAGCATAACGTACCGATTGAAAAAAAGGAGTGAGAAGAACCAATGGGCCTTCGGTATTTGGCCAAATAATGGATATTAGAAAGTAGGCTTTGTTAAGTTTAACCAGGTACTAAGTTTGGGAGAATGGGCTTGCGATACTATTGGCCGTATGATCTTTTGTTAATCATCGTGTAATATGAACATGGCAAATTATGCCCTGGACCCGTGTCCACATTGAATTGTGGACACGGGCCCAAAACGACGTCATTTTTTTAAAAAAACACGTCATTTAGTTAAAAAAAAAAAAAAAAAATCGCGCGCGTTTTGCCGTTAACGGTGTTAACGGCGTTATTTTTTTTTTTTTGGATTATGAATGTACAGTTATGCCGTTATGAATGTACAATTATGCCGTTATGAATATACAGTTATGCAATTATGAAATTATGAACACAGAGCTCTAACATTATGAACTTACAATTATGAACATATATAGTGATAAAATTATGACCATGGAGCTTTAAAATTGTGAATATAGAGCTTCGAAGATTATGAATGTACAGTTATGGAGTTATGAATGTACAGTTATAGAGTTATGAATCTACAGTTATGGAGTTATGAATCTACAGTTATGAGATTATGAATCTACAGTATGGAATTATGAATGTACAGTTATTGATCAAATTATGCACAAAGAGCTCTAACATTATGAACTTACAATTATGAACATATAGTGATAAAATTATGAACATAGAGCTCTAAAATTGTGAACATAGAGCTTCGAAAATTATGAATGTACAATTATGGAGTTATGAATATACAGTTATGGAGTTATGAATGTACAGTTATAGAGTTATGAACGTACAATTATGGAGTTATGAATGTATAGTTATTAACATATAGTAATAAAATTATGAACATATACTCTTACAATGAAGCGGTCTGAAATTTTTTTTAAAAAAAAAAAAAAAAAAAAGAAGAAAAAGGAGATAACAGTGCCTAACGGCACTGTTACCCGTGTCCAGCAAGCATGCTGGACACGGGTCCAACGCATAACGATTGTATAAACATCAAGATAATCCCCATTTCATCTACAAATTATAGCGTGGACCATTGATAAATATTTACTTTTAGTATACTAAGAATACATTTTTAATATATTATAGGTTCATTTTTAGGTAATTTACTAAAAATAAAATTAAAGTACATTAAAAATAAACATATAATACACTAAAAATGAATATTCTATATATTAAAAATAAACATGTATATTAGTGGTCTACTTTGTAATATGGATCATGGTCCATAATATAATGATTTCACTTCTTCATGCTCAAGTGCAATATTGTAGAGCCAAATTGTACAAATGGATGTTGAAAATATTAAAAATTGGATGTCAAATTCTTTTTTTTTAAAAAATAAGGGGGAAAAACAAAATAAGCCAAAAAATAAAATAAATATGGATTGAGGGACACTAAGGGTGTGTTTGGTTCACACATGGAAATTGGAATCGGAATGAATCAAATACTTAGTAATAGTAGTAATGAGTTTTAGTGAAGGTATTTTCCATGTTTGGTAGTAGGGTGAAATTGGAATGATTACCAATATTGACGTTTGGTTATGTATGACACTGTAATGGGAATAAAAGTTTTAGAAATACAAAAATAAAAAATCAAGGCAATTGATCTTAATATAATGACATTCAAACTTAAAAATTAGGATGGAATAAAACCCTTTTTAATTAGTAAATAAAAATTTTAATTAAAGAGGTAATTAAATATGATAATTATGTTTTAAAAAATTGTTGTCCAAATACTAACTATAATTTTGATTTCTATTTTTAATGTGTAAACACATGAACCAAACACATCCTAACCCATGGTAATTTGAAGACCTCGGATCTGCATGAGAAGAAGTTGATAAAGTTTAAGCCTAGCTAATACAAGACTGAGAGAAGTCTCCAAAAAATTGAATGGAACAAAATAGTTTGGACACAGAAAAAGATAGAACTAACATGGGGGGCATGGACATACAATATAATAATGGTTTGAGCATATGGGATTATGGGCTATGCCAATTATTCAGATTATTCTACTGAGGAAGAAATTGCTTCAATTCAAATATAATGAAGCCTCATTCATTGATGTGGATTTAACGGGTGACTGGGAAGATACCAAGAAGAAGCAACCAGGGATGGAAACGAGGCAATTCAACAAGTGAAACCACCCACTATCACATAAGATCTTATCCTAACTTAGACTTTACTTTTGATAAAGTTATTTTTATTATAGTAGCTTTTGGTAAATTATTGTACTAGCACCGACCAATTGACAATATCAACAAAAATAAGTACCTTCACGCCTTAGTGATATTCAAATTCAAATATCTTAATTACAACAACGGAAATCTCATAATAACTTGCTTTACAACTAACACTACAACAATTTGCTTCCCTATAAAATGGTTATTTTTGCACAATTCTGGAAATAAGCCAATTTAGTCACTTGTGCATTGGCTATTGCATTAACAATTGAGATGTCATCAACGTTTTAGATGCCATTTCCTTTTAACATTCCACTCGGTGATAGATGTGCTATTAAACTATAATTATATTATATTAGACAATAAATTGTATTCAATGAAATGCACATCAATTCATTGGCTAACACTTCTGATCCACACATGCTGATATGATGAAATTTATAAACTTATTTTGAGTTGAGTTAATTGACTAGTTGTAATTGATCTCTACCCAAACTACTATTCTTTATTATTATTTTTATTAAGTGTAAAATTTCCAGGGAAAATAAAAAGTAAAAAATAATAAATAATAAATACTCCATAGAATTAGTTAGGGTGAAGGGAGAAGCATAAATTTTGTTCAGTTGCAGTCTAAAGAGCTAAAAACTGTGGGCAAATTATGCTGTGCATCCGTATGCACCATGCATGGTGCATATAGATGCAAAAACGACGTTGTTTTATTAAAAACGCGCGTCTCACTTAAATAAAAAAATCAGTTTTGATTCCTAGTAAAAACATATGAACTAAAATTTCAGAATCGATGAACTACAATTCCAGAATCAGTGAATTAAAATTCCAGAATCTAATCTATGAACTAAAAGTTCCAGAATCTATGAACTAAAATTTCAGAATCGATGAACTAAAATTTCAGAATCGATGAACTAAAATTCCAGAATCGATGAACTACAATTCCAGAATCAATGAACTAAAATTCCAGAATCTTTGAAATAAATTCCAGAATGAATGAACAACATAATGTTTTTTAGGGGAATCGAACCTGATTTTTTTTTTAAGTGGGATTCGCGTTTTTAATAAAACGACGTCGTTTTTGCATCCGTATGCACCATGCATGGTGCATACAGATGCACAACATAACTATCCAAAACTGTGTGGGCAGGTTAATGACAGCAAAACAAGCATTGCCAGTCATACTAACTAAATCCCTATGAGCACAGTGGAGGCGGTATTGACTTTTTGTGCTTCAGTAGGTTAAGAAAGTAATTATGAACAGATACTAGGTTGCAACAGAGTCAATAGTACTATTAAAAAAAAAAAAACTAACAATCCCTATATATACTCTCCCATCAACTCTTTGGCCCTGTTTGGTAAAATGGATGTTAGCTGATTGTGTTAATTAGAGGGTATAAATAGTTGATAACATTAGCTGATTGTAGAAAAGTGTTTGGTAAATTAGCTGTTAGCTGATAGCTGTTTGGTATAATTTCTTTTCTTAAAAAGCTAATTGAAAAAGTTGTTTGGAGTAGCTTTTTGAATTTTAACCTTTTGGAGTTGCAAAAAACTAATTAACCAAATATTTATATTGATATTTTAATTAAATCAAACAATTAATAGTGATTAAATAAGCTAAAATTGATCTATAGGCCAATTTTTTTACCAAAGGGTCAACTTTTCACCAAACATTTCATATACATACACAAACAAAATATTTTCCATTTCATAAATATAAATCAAGATGTCTACCGCCAAGTACAATGCCGGTCAAGCCTATGGAGAAACTCAGGTCGAAATTAAAAAGTACGGAGTAACAATTTTTAGCATATCGTTTCATGGTTTCAAGAATCAATTCTCCTGTGTTTTGAGTAACGAGAGAAACTCGTAATTACTATCAAGAGTTTATAGGCCAAGACAGAGCAGTGGGCAGAGTAGGCTAGGGGAACGGCGGATTCTGCTGTGAACATGGCAGAAAATGCAACATAAAACGCGCAACAATTTGCTCAGGAGAGAGGGGAAGAAGGCGAAAGTGGATTCCTTTAGCAGACTGGAGACTTGAGAGCAGATGATCAACACATATGGCTCAGGGTGAACTTGATGGTGTGAAGAACAAGCTTGGAATGGGTGACCAGAATAAGTGAAGCCCACACCTCAATTTCTCATCTATCTCCCAGCAATTTTGAAATTACATTTTTGGATTAATTCTCAACTTCTTTTCCCCCATTTCTGTACCCGGCCATCGATCAGATGCAATAACAAAGATGCAGTAAGATGAAGCTGCTCTTTCTGAGTGCAAATGGCAGTTTTTGTATACAGCAAAAAGATTTATGTGTGCAGACTTTTGCTGCTGTTCTCTGTACAGCTAGAAAAATTGTTAATATAGGAGAAACCTCAACCAAATTGGCCAGGTTCAACTGGAGTGATCTATTGACTTTCTTGTTTGAGTTGATCAGTTATAAATAACCTAAGCTAATTTACTGGTCTTTTGTTAACTACGGTGAATTGGTCTTTTGTTGACTGTAGTCAACAAGGTAGAGTTTACTCAATGCACAAGGTAGTTACTCCAAAAAAATTGTTGATACCAAAAGAAATTGGCTGCTTTCTGTCAAAGGCCATGAAATACTATATATAAACATTCAGTTCTCTAATTGATGTTTTCATATATATGAAATTGTAGCTAGGACACAATTTAATTTTAAGCGTGTGCTTTCTTCTTGTGGAACATAATCTTCAGGCTTTGTTTCAATATATCAACTTCCCTTTCCCTCCTCAATTCCTGTTGCTCCAATAATGCAATTTTTGCTTCTAATACTTCAATGCATTCTTCCTTGGCTCTCAGCTTCTCTTCCACTCCTCCTCCTTCTTCCTTCCAACATAGCCCTTCTCCTGCCAAAATAAAAATTATAAAAATTCAGCCAAGTTTGTCAGACTGTTGACTTAGTAACTATATACAAAATTACTAATTTGATAGATTAACGTGAACAGCCTCGCCTATTGACCTTCTTGAATTGATTTGAACTCGTTAACTATAAATTAAATCAACTTAAGCTGATTTACTTCTTTGAATTTGTCGGCTAAGGTAGAAAAGAAAAATTATAAAAATTAGGAGTGCAAGTACATACCTGAATTGGTTCTGAGAATGAGATGATCCAGCTCAACCTTGATGGCAAAGTAGAGCTGTTTCCACTTCTCAATGGCTTCATCTCTCCTGGCTTGCTCCTCTCTTATCTGCTGCATCAAATAGCTATCACCCACAGTAGTTTCACCATTATTATTATTATCATCTTCCACATTCTGATCTTCTCTTTCATCCACCCTTTTCCTCAGCTTCTTCACCTCTTCCCTCAGCTTCGTCCTCTCCTTCTTCCATTCTGCTTCTTTGAAAGCAAACACCATCATTTCTTGCTCGTACAACTGGCTCTCGTTCTCCCTCATGCACATTATCTCAGACACCTCTCGCTGAAGAACCCTCACCTTGTACTTTAGCCCTTCCACAACCTTATTGTCATTCGGAAACCTCTTTTCCTTGGTTTGAACACCCCCCATTCTCTCTCGGATCTGATCGGATCAAACCAAAAGTCTCTGCAACTTAGAAGACAGTTTATGTATAGGGAATTATTGGTTTGAAAAAAAGGTGGCTACAGGGATACAGCCTCCGCGGCGTTGTCAAAAGATGCCCCAGTCATGACTTATATGTACGAGTGTTTTGTTATTATTAATTGAATTATTAATGCGAGCGTGAGAGATGCCCGTGAAGAAGGGCGGGGTGGGGAAGAGTCATTCGTGATAGCTGAGATGTTGACATGGGCTGTTACATTCCAAACTAACATGTTACATCATTCAAAAAAAAAAAAAAACAAAAAATCAACCTAGCTATCCCATTGGAAAGTCCCGTGGGACGAGGTAAATCACTGTTACACGTCTCTATAAATTATGAATATATAACTTTATAATTATAAACATATAATTCAGTAATTATGAATATAAAACTGTGTTCATCTTGCAAGGTGGACACGATTTCATAACATAACGATTGAGATTTGGGGGTGGGGTGGAGTGTGGGTGGCCCCGTCAATCTTTGCTCGATACGATGCTTAATTATTCGGACAACAACATCATGGCTTTCTTGAAATTGCAAGCTCTGTTCGGTGGCAGGTGAGATTACTACATGCTGGCTGCGTGCGTGCCATTCTTCAACATTTAGGTACGTCCATCTTGAAAATGGTGATCCAATTCCAAATCTTCCAAAAAAAAAAAATTTATATTAATTTCAGTTAACTTCTCACTTACGAGATGTGGATTGAGGAAAGAGTAAATATCCAAAATGACCCTTTGATTATATCTAAATTCACAAATTGATCATCGACTTTCAATTTCAACCAATCAAGTTCTTAACTTTGTAATTTTGATACGATTTGGTCCTCCATCTATTTGACCGTTTGTTGACCGCGATCTTTGAGGATATATATATAATTTCACGTGCAAAGCTCAAGAGAACGCTCTTGGAGGTGATATCGTTGTTTCGGAGGGGGAAGTGCTTCTCCACTTGCTGCTTGGAGAGCACGAGCCAGTTCAACTTAGAGAACGCTCTTGGAGGTGACATCGCCGTTTCGGAGGGGGGAAGTGCTTCTCCGCTTACTGCTTGGGGATCCCGAGTCGGTTCAGCTTGCCTACATCGCTTGGAGTCACGACTTTCTCGAAGAGCCACTTCAGGGACTTCGGCGATCTATCTATCAAAAGCTATAATCTCTCCGGCATGGGGTGCAGCGCTAACAGTGGATTCAAATGTAACAGTGCGGTCTATAAATGCAACCGGAACTTTAAAAAACCGACGATGGACCATGAAATTACATATATATCCTAAAAAAGCGCAGTCAACAAATAGTCAAATAGACAAAGGACCAAATTGTGTTAAAATTGTAAAGTTAAGGACTTAATTGGTTGAAATTAAAAATCGATGACCAATTTGTGAATTTAGCTATAGTCGAGGGACCATTTTGGGTATTTACTCTTGAGCAAATGGCCGGAATTGTTAGACAATTATATTAGACCAAACAAACTACTGAAATGAAAGAGTATGGTAAGTGAATTGAAGTGGACAAGTCAGCATGGTAGTTCCCATTCTTTCATTATTTTATTTTATTCTAGATAACTTTAAAATTTTACAATCAGTACCTTTTTATTAAATTAATATAAATTTGTATAACCATCGTTTAAACAGAAATAGAAGATTAAAATGACCAAATTACTAAATTATCTCATAAATTAAAGTCAATTCAATAAAGATTGTAACAAAAGATTAAATGTAACAATACCAACAAAATCGTAAGCAAAATGTGATAATACCATAATAACCGTGAGATTACAATTCCAAGTAAGATTTTCATTCTCTTGTTTATCAATTGCCAAATCTTGAATTCAATGTTTATTTTTTATTTAATTATAATAAAAAAATAGATATTAATTAAAGACGCAAACTAAAACAAATCATATCTCGTTAAATATTCTAATAAGCTAGGCTAAAATGTAACAATTACATTTACTATTGTAATCATGATATTCAAGTATAAGTAAATTTGATTTGATTAAGTTGATAAGAATTACTTATTTTGTTCAAAAAATGGTCACGAGAATATGTAAAAAGAAAATACTTTTTTCTCTCTTATATTTTCTTTATGATGTAGTTTTTTTTTTAAAATTATTTATACCATGAATAATTGGTGGATTAAATTTACAATATAGTTATATCAAAATGATTAAAAGTGTTAATTTTTTAAGAAAAGAAAAACCTTATCCTATTCCTAATATATTATTGACTAAACAAATGACAAATCATGCAGCTGCACGTGGAAAACGTCATATGCAAAAAGCAGTTCTTTTTTTTTGAAAACAAAAAGCAGAACTTTTAGAATACTTTTTTTTTTTTTTTTTTTGAGAAAAACTTTTAGAATACCTATATTTCATTAGATTGTAGATAGGAGGCCTACACATTTTTGAGTGGCCAATAAACAAAGCGATAATAATGACAAATGACAAATATCATCATGTGATTATTAGGCTAATAATGCCACCCATTATCCAACTATTTTTTTTTAGTGCACCTAAAATTTTCACCGTCAAACACATTGACTAATTTTATCGTTAAATTATAGTTAGATATTTTTTTTGAGTGAGACAACTGGCATAGAAATTTAATGCTGTTCCATACCTAAAATCAAAGATCAAACTATTAACCTTTGGTTAAGGGTGGATGAGTCTTTAATTTCTCACTCAATCACACCCCCAAATTATAATCCAATTATTATGTCTCATCTATTTATCACACATTAATACAAATAATCAATCAACAACCAACTTGCATGAAAAAAGATTACATTATAACATCTAAATTTAAATTAAAATGACTTTCAATGAAATTATTATTTTTACATTATATTAAGTGGATTATATTTCGATTTTCGAGCCATATAGCAGTATTGCACTATATTGCCAGTATAGCCGGCTCTTGCATTATTAACGTTGTACTTTTTGTACATTATTCATGATGTTGTACCTTTGCATGATTAGGTTGGGCTGACGAACTTTTTTTTTTTTTTTTTTAATGGGCCATTCTTATGGGTCGTCTGCAATTGGTTTGGGACAAATGTTTTTTCTCGAATTTTGGTAGAAAGTGATTTTAAGTTGATGATTAAGTGCAGTGGTTGAGGGGTGTTGAAGGAGGTGAAGGATTGAGAGGCATATATTGTGAGTAATTTGTTGAGTTTGCACTGTTGCACTGTTTAAAGCATAATATATGTTATTTTAAAGTATAATGTACATTATATTATCTCAGAAGATCAGAAGTTTCATATTTTAACACGTAATGTACATTATTTTTACTCATATAATATTAACGATATCATTTTGAATCATAGTTCACATAATTATTTGTCCATTGCAATGTGGACCCGGTACATAGTATAACAACTATAAACCCAGCTGCAGGGCCCGCACCAATCACGCGTTGGATGCGTTAAATCGATTCACATGCAGTCCACAATCCCACAGAACAATGTATCACAACTCACAAGATGGCTATTACTCTTTAGGTGACATGACAGAGTGACAGAGACTGTCTTATTCCTCCGGCCATCTTCTGCTCACTAGCTAATCTTTGAGCTCAAAGACGGTGGTGGCCATTTTCTTGTAATGCCGCCGCCATCTTAGAGATGGATTGATGGTTTGGAAAGCTTTGGGGAAATTTGTCAAAGAAAGGCAGTGGATGTCTGGATGACGTTGATCGTAAGGTATTTGATAAAATTCCTCAGTTGTGCTGCCCATATATATATATAGACTCCACCAACTAGTAGCTAATACACTAAAAAATATAATTCAGTGCAGGCGTGTAGCCTCCAATATTTGTTATTAGTTACTCACTTTTAAAAAAGTGACTAACAATACATAAAAACAACATCATTCTAAATTTAAGAAACAAAATAATTGAAAACATGTGTTATATTTAGATAAAACATTTTTTTATGGCTTATTAAACCATGCAACTCAATAGATTAGAGGTGGCCAAATCCCGGACTTGGGTATAGATTAGCACTGATCAGGACCGGTCTAGGATAATCTGTGTCGATTCCGGGGTAGGTCCATAATTTTTAATTTATTTTTATATAAAATATTTATAATTTTTTTTTTTGAAATGAAATTTAAACCATTGATCCCATGATTAACAACGAAAGTTCTTACCACTTAAACTACTTCAACATTTTGATATACTAATGCTAATACATACACACACACACACTCACGCGCACTTTTTCAAAGTTAATATTTTTGTTTAAAATAATATTTTAACCATTAATCTCAAAATAAAAAATTAATATAATTTTCTACAAAATTAAAAATTTATAATACTTTAATAACATTTGAACTTATACTATTAAATTATTTTATAAGTTTGTAATATTATTTGATAACTTATAAACATTATAAAGTATATTATAATTTATAAAGTCCATGCTACTTGGGCCTGGGTCAGCTCGAGTTGGGCTCCAGACTATTTTTTATAGGACCTGAATCGGCCCAATATAAATCGGTTCAGGTTTGGGCTATGCTCGGTGAAGTCCATGCTTTTTTTTTTTTTTTTTTTTTTTTTTTTTTTTCGGTCCGATTTAGGACTGGTTCGACCTTCAATTGGTCCGTTGCCACTTCTACAATTCAAGTTATCATTTTGTTGTTTTGGTGCCTATTAAACCATTTGCAATTTGGTTATATTAACCGAGGGATTTTTTGGTGTTTTCTGTGTCTCTTAAAACATTTGCAATTTAGACTATTATTTTGTTCAACATAGAATGTTACGTAGTATATTTTGCTATAAGCGTAGTGTATATATAAATATTCATGGAGAGAACTTGATTATTTATTTATTTATTTTTTACAAAATGACCATTATGTTGTTTAATAATTTGAAAATTCAAAATAAATTGTTATTGTTAAAAAAATCTATAATTAATAGATTGAAATTAATTGTCACTTTCAATATAATTAAAGAGAAAAATTTGTATAGGATAATAATTTATGAAATGAGTCTACAATTTAGTTATAATTAATGAATTAAAATTATCATATTCCCTATTCCCTACATGGCTACATATAAAGATATATTATGTTAAATATATATATCTTACAAATAGGGATACTTGAATCCGTTCAAATCCTTGAGAGAGCGAAATAGGTGATGAATGTCCTTGCTTCCACTAACATTAAATTCGTTATGCATGCTCTAGGTATAAAGTGGATGAATATGCCAACGAGGGAGGTGCAAGGAATTTTGGTGGTGTCCTATCCCAAGTGTGTGATTAAGTTATTGAAGGAGGAGATCTTCCCTAAAGACCCTTGATTGTTTTGCTTGAAGTTTACAATCATGCGTTGTATTGCTAATGGGAGATGATCAAGCTAAATTATACGGAGTATTTATCAATATGAACGTAAATTTTCTTGTCATGATGTTCCTTGAACAAGATCGGGACTTGTGAATGTTGAACCAAGTTCTTGTTGCCTGTAAATTTGTAGAGGATTTTAAAGGGAAAAAATGATGAAATATGTCATTGAATTTTATATAAAAAGTAATAAGATTTATAAATTTTTAAAAACTTACAATTAAATAGTGTAACTTATCATTTTGGTGCACATGAGGCCAATAGCAGATTATTCACCTAGAATAACTGATCATTCGAGTTCGGGTGACGAAATCACGAACTGATGAGCGATTGCTGGTCGTTGTTATCAATAAAGAAGATGACTAGTAAGTCACCTTTTTCAGTGACTAGTTAATGGTGATTTTCAATTGCGACCGATGACAGTTATCATGTTACGTCATCATTAATTTTACTCGTAAATTATTAATTATGAATAAACGATACTTATTTAACTGATTTTAATAAATTAAAATAATTAATTACAACTTTTTAAAATTTAAGGTTGTAATATAAAAAAAAATAAATTTAAAGGCTTATTTCATCATTTTCTATTTTAAAGTGATGAAAGGGAGCAATTAAAAGGAAAAAAAAAAAAAATAGAGTAGAAATGAAGTTGCACATGTAAAGAAAGTCGAAAGCACCAAACCCAACAGACTAACGGTAGATCGTACGGAGAAGAGAGACCCGAAAATCGCAAATAGAAGCAACAGCAAGGGACAAATTGGGGAAAACAAAATTTAACGACCTCTTCGTGTATCGTGGCCGCTATGCATTTTCCTTCCTTGTCCAAGTTGCAAACACACAGAGAAAACGGAAATTAATCCCAAACAAACAACTTAGCGCCCATTCCAGCCAGAGAGAAGAACATCGGCGCCATTTTTGCCATCGCCATCGAGGCAAGGCACATACACAGGAAGCTAGCCCTAGACAGGCGAAATCGCAGGAGAAAGCCGGGAAGGGAAATGTTGCAGAGGCTGGCTTTTGATCTCTTTAGGGAGAGAAGAACATATAATAATAATAATAATAATAATAATAATAATAATAATAATCATATTTAATTTGAAAGTCTGCCATTGTAGCACCTGAAAATTAAAGCTTCTGCATGTGATCACTCTATCGGCCTCTCTCCATAGAGACCAACAGAATGAGCTGCATTACCAATATAAACACACCTACATTGGAACCAGAATCCCTAGGATGAGTTTCCCCGCATTGGGGTTCTGAAGCAAAATCGATCAAGGGTGAATTTATTTTAAAAAAATGGTATGAGCTTTCTTCAAAATTTTCACGCATATCTTCTACTTCTTCTTCTTCTCCTTTCCTGGCATTATTTTGTAAATATATAATATCTATCTGATGATTTATTGGGGACGTCAATAATGCAGTTGTAAGTCTGGCATGGTTTATTTATACTTGAAATTTTAGTTTTTGGACTATTTGGATATGCATGCCATGCCAATTGTGTGTAAGAGTACTGTATCATCGTAGCAATTACATATTGGTTCCGATCAGACTTTGAAATTGATGGTAAATATGCTTCGTTAACTGTATTTTGACAGTTTAATTTGATTTCTACGGATTAAGTGTTTTAGCTGCAACTTTTTGAAGGATGAAAGTCCCTCTATACTATTATGGAATTGCTGGTGAACAATGAAGGATGGCTTGTTTTTTCTTATTTACGTTTTACCATGCAAAATTTTTATCTAGTTAACAACCAATTCTAGTGCTGCACTCAATCTTTTACTAGTAGACTTCACATCTTTATAATGCATAATTTTTATTAATCATATATGCATTAAGTATATAATTTTTTTACTATACGTTCTTTTTTAAACTAATGATATGCTGATATGCCCTCTAAGTATAGGATCTCACTGTATATGTTGTGTAAAATTTAAAGCAAAACCTGTATAGTTCATTATAGAATTGACACGTATTTGCTACAAGATATGAAAGCAACAGTGGAGGAAGCTAATGAGGGGAAGTAAAGGAGATAGATTTGAGTGTTTAGATAATAACAATTTAAGTAAAACCTGTACACTTCATGACTTTCCAATCAGGTCCTACCAGTATTTCTCTCTCTTATTTCTTCATTTTTATATTCTGTTTGCATCAAGATTTCTGCCGTGTGTGTGTGTGTGCATGTTTTTTTTTTTTTTTGTTTTTTTTTTTTTTTAAATTTTATAATTTTAATATAATATGATTTATTGGTACATCAATTATTAAGCCTCTCTTTCAGTCTTTGCTAAGTGAAAAAATTATTTCCTGAAAAATATTCAAGATTACCATGTAATATATTATTTATTGCTCCTGGATATACTTGTCAATTTTTGTTTAGCATTTTTATCATAAATTTCGTTCCAAGCCTAAAATTTGTTTAGTTATTTGAGTACTTTCATTGTGTTAAAAGTTCCACATTAAAAAATAAGAGAGAAACATATGTATTTATAAGGTCATGGGTTAGACTAACTAATTGATTGGATTCAGTCTTTTAGTGTGGTTTGGCCCATGTGCTAACATGGTATCAGAGTTTGTTCGGTCCACTTTGTGTTCACCTCGGTTATCTGCCCATTTTCATTACATAAATGATGCAATTCAGTCATGCCAATCATTTCTTTAACAATAATTTTATGTACATACCACATAATTGATTTGACTGTGCATTTATTACTTTACATATATCTTTTTCATACTATTGTACGTTCTGTGCAGACTTCTTTGGCCGCTATTGTGGTTGGATCTCATGTTTGGGTTGAGGATCCTGATATAGCTTGGAATGAGGGGCATGTTTTGGAAGTCAAGGGTGAGGAGATTAAAGTAAAATGTATCACAGGGAAGACGGTAATCACTTTGCTTTGTGGTTTCTTTATATCTTTTCTTTTGAAAAAATGAAGTTCTAATGCTTTAATAAAATATTGTATATTTGTTTTTCTTGGAGACTTGAGTTCTTTTTGTTCTCTTCTCTTCTATATTGTTGTGATTTATGTGGCAGATGTCAGAAATGAAGTATTTTTCTTTGACCATTCAATGCTTTTATCTTGCTTGAGAAGTTCATGGAGATCAGTATCAGTCAATTATGATGTTTTGAAATCTCAGTTATGATATTATAAAACCTCATGATTGCCTTCCCTAATATTTCATAAATGGCCTAATGTTCAATCATCTATGTCTCCTTTGGTAACAATACAAACTACTTTTTGTTAATGTGATGCAAGATATAAAACTGGTTGTGGGTGCTGTTCTATGTAGGATTACTGTGGAGTAATGCTTTATTGTCACTATTATTCTATAAATACACTTATTCTCAGTGTTTCTGCATTTTATACCTTTTTGAGGCGCCTGCTTGGCGCTTTTAATAAAATAAATTTGGCTCGTCCAAATTAAAAGCTCATTCATAAGGAAAGAATAGACCTGAAATGAATTCAAATTATCCGCTGCCAATCAAATAGGGAATGCATTTCCACTAATGCTCTAAAGCTAGTATGTTTTCCATATATGAAATTTTTTGGTATGATCATGTTTTTCAATTGACATGGCATAGACATTTCATATTGAATGTGAAATTTGGGCTGTAGGTTGTAGCTAAGCCATCTAGTGTCTACCCAAAAGATACTGAAGCCCCTGAAGGTGGTGTGGATGATATGACAAAGCTTGCCTATCTGCATGAACCTGGAGTTTTGGCTAATTTAAAAAGTAGATATACCATGAATGAAATTTACGTAAGTACTCTATTTTGTACCTGTAATGCTTATTGCAATTTATGCATGAAATACAAGCGACTCATGTTTTCTTTGTTGTCATATCTTCATTTGAGTAGTTTATGGAGCTTACATATTCAATTGTTCCCTCAGACTTACACAGGTAACATATTGATCGCTGTGAATCCTTTTAAAAGGTTGCCTAGTCTATATGTAAAAGATGTGATGGAAAAGTATAAAGGATCTGCATTTGGGGAGTTAAGCCCTCATCCTTTTGCTATTGCAGATTCTGCTTACAGGCAAGCAGTCAATTGTCAATTCCTCTACCCATTTTAGCATGCTTTCTGAATTAATGCTTCTGATTGCAGACAGATGGTGAACGATGCGATAAGCCAGTCAATTTTGGTTAGTGGAGAAAGTGGAGCTGGCAAGACTGAAAGCACAAAAAGTCTTATGCAATATCTTGCATATATGGGAGGTAGAGCTGCATCTGAGGGGAGGTCTGTGGAACAGCAAGTCCTTGAGGTGTGTTTTCTCAACTAAATATTGATTCTCTTTATTAATTTGCCATTGTGTTGAGTCATGTTGAAATCATAGTCTGCTAAAAAAGGTCTGATGTTCTTTGTTTGGTAGTCAAATCCGGTTCTTGAAGCATTTGGCAATGCAAAAACAGTGAGAAACAACAATTCAAGGTATGAAATTTGCAATTTAAAGTGCTTGTTATTTACAACTTGGAATATGAAAGTTGATATGTTATTACTCCTTTGAGTTCTATCCCCTTTTTATTTGCCTGTTTTAGTCCCAGATGATCTGCTAAATTTACCTTTTACCAAATTTTGAGATATATTTCTTTGCAAACTTTGACTGATTTTTTAGATAGTTAAGGAATTTTTGAGACTTTGATTTTTGAGACTAATTAGAAGTTTTTATGTAATTTTTAAATATATAGTAATTTTATTTTCATGTATTGAATTTAATCATTCATCAGTAATGAATTTTAAGCAAAATTTGGTCAAACTGACCTAGAAACAGTGTACTGGCCAATTAAAATGGGACAGAGGAGCATTATTTCCCTTATTATTATCATTGTCTTAACTGATCAGAATTTGTTCACCAACATGTACTGGTGGCAGTCGTTTTGGTAAATTTGTTGAGCTTCAGTTTAACAAAGGTGGAAAAATCTCTGGTGCTGCTATCAGAACATATCTGCTGGAACGATCTCGTGTTTGTCAAGTGTCTGATCCTGAAAGAAATTATCACTGCTTCTACATGCTTTGTGCTGCACCGCCAGAGGTAAATTTACTCAAAGTAGATCTACACATTGAGGTTTTGGAAGTACTTTATTTATATAGATGTCAAATTCTTATAATTTTTTGCCACTTTGACGCGGACACTTCAGTTGAGTTTACATTCAACGCTATGCAAGAAATGAATGCTTTTCAGTTGCTCTCAAATCTAATCTATTAATGGCTTTTCTAAAAGTAAGTATTTATTGTGACTGTCTGGACACACCAGATGTGAGATGTGCACTTATAGTTATCAAGATTGAGGGGACAAGAACACAGTATAATCTCTTAGACTATAAATCTTTCTCATAAGGGATGAAGTGCTTTCAAGGTTTTTTCTCTTTTAATTTAAAACATATATCTTAGTCTGATGATTTAAATGGGCTGATGGAAACAAATAACCATTTACTATGTATAAAATTTCCCGATAGACTGTTAACTCTGATCTGGGGTCTGTTAGGACTTTGTCTTGCATATGAAAACCAGTCAGTGTCTTGCCCAATTTCTCCACTCTGCTGTTGCTTTCAGATAGCTGTATCCAAGGATTGATGTGTTGGAATGAAAAACTTTATTTTGTGTTCCTTGAAAAGTGATCACTGGTGATCCTATCAGTTAGTTGGTACTGAAATCTTATAACACTTATTCCCTACTGGGAACTCTGTGTGTGTGTGTGTGTGTTTTTTTTTTTTTAATTTTATTTATTATTATTAAATTTAAATGTTCTATTTTTCTCACATTTTCTAATAATTGATTTTAGGATGTTGCAAAATACAAATTGACAAATCCTAGGTCATTTCATTATCTGAACCAATCAAACTTCTATCAATTGGAAGGCTTGGATGAATCTAAAGAGTACCTTGCCACTAGGAGGGCTATGGGTGTTGTAGGAATCAATACTGATGAGCAGGTATTGGCATCTGAACTTAATTCACTATACATGATTTACATACTGATTCTTTGATGATGATGCCCATTTGCAGGAGGCAATTTTTAGAGTTGTGGCTGCAATACTTCACTTGGGTAATGTTGAGTTTGCAAAGGGAAAAGACCCTGATTCTTCAGAACCCAAAGATGATCAATCTCGTTTCCATCTTAAGACTGTAGCTGAACTTCTCATGTGAGGTTTCTTTTATCTCTGTTTCTTCAGATATATGTATTTTATTCTCCCAAGTGCCCAAAGAACAATTTCATCATATTGAAGTTTCATTTAGGTGTGATGAGAAAGCACTTGAGAGTTCCTTGGTCAAACGCATCATGGTGACTCGCGATGAGAAGATAACAAAATCACTTGATGCACAAGCTGCTGCAATCAATAGAGATGCTCTGGCAAAAACTGTCTATTCTAGACTATTTGATTGGTTGGTTGATGAAATGGATAGATGCTATTGAATCTTCATCAGTATCAAATGTTGTGCACTTAAAACTTCAATTTCTTTCTTACTCAGGCTTGTGGAAAAGATAAACAATTCTATTGGCCAAGATCCTGATTCCAACCTTTTAATTGGGATTCTGGATATTTATGGATTTGAGAGTTTCAAGACAAACAGGTGCTTAACCGGTATGCTTTTGTTATCATCATTCACAGAGGTTCAATTCTTGCAGAATACTGCATGAAAACTCTGTTCTTGTCTTGTGTACATAAGGATCTAGAACTAGTAATTTATGTTTCCACACTTACATTGACAAAACTATCCTTTCGTTTGTTTAGTTTCTCTATTTCCTCTTAGGTCCTATTTTTGGCATAATGGTAATTTTTTATGCTAATATCTATAGTTTGATACTCTAAGATGATTTTTGTTTTATTCTGTCAATGATACTAATTCTTTCTTGCAGTTTTGAACAATTTTGTATTAATTTGACTAATGAAAAACTGCAGCAACATTTCAACCAGGTTTGTACCTAAGATATATTCTACATGGCCTAGAATTGCTTTCATTGCCTAAACTGCAGATAGACAACAAAAAGACAGTAAACAGAGTGAAATCTAAAGTATTAATCTGATGCCACACACTTCATTTCCTTTGGCAGCATGTGTTTAAGATGGAGCAAGAAGAGTATACCAAAGAGCAAATTGACTGGAGTTATATTGAGTTTGTTGATAACCAAGATATTCTCGACCTCATAGAAAAGGTCAACATATGAATTAATGCCTAACTCTTGTTAGATTTTATTGAAATACTACTTCTTGATCCTATAGCACATGTAAACATATAGATTGCATTGCCAATTCATGTTAGATTTTGTTGAAATATTTTTATTTACTTAAACTTTCTTGCCTTTTCCATGTGATAACCAAATGTGTGTATGTCATTCATATTGGAAATGACAGGTAATGTTTCCAATTTGCATTGCTTTGATAAAACAGTATGTCCTTTGTCTGCTTCAACGTGGACTTTTTCCTTTTTGTTGTCATTATAGCACTTACCCCAATACACTGATTTTTCCTCTGAAGAAAATTTAAGTCCAGTGCTGCAAAACTTTTCAAGTATAATGGGAGGAGGAAGGAAAAACTTTAAAAAGAAGTAAATAATAGACTTCCTTATTCCTTGGACATCAGTGCATGCGCTTCCAATAACCCATGTGTCCTACAAAATTGATTTGTTTGTTTTGTCTTTGAAGAGTTTTTTTTTTTTTTTGGGTGATTGTGATCACACACACACAGGTTTATTTGCATTAAAATGTCTAGAATAAGTTTCATGATCTCTTATGTTAGAGTGCTAAGCTTGTACTTAATCTCTTTGGTCATGCACTTGCTGATTTGCATGATCTTTTATGTTAGAATGCTAGGCTTGTGCTTATTCTTTATTTCATTTACATGCTGAATTAATGCTCCATATATTTAATATCTTCAGAAGCCTGGGGGAATCATTGCTCTACTTGATGAGGCCTGGTAACAATGTTTAGGTTATTGAATTATCTTTTCAATCAGTTTCTTCTTTTGAGTGGACTACTAATTATGGTTTTACATTCCAAAATGCCTTAATTCCTTCATGTAGCATGTTCCCAAGGTCAACATATGAGACTTTTGCTGAAAAGCTCTATCAAACCTTCAAAGAACATAAGCGCTTCAACAAGCCAAAATTAAGACGGACTGACTTCACTATTTGCCATTATGCTGGGGATGTATATATTTCTCATACTTACTAATCCAGTATTTATGAAGAAAGAAGTGTTGCTTATTATGTCTGACTCTGGAAAATTTGATGTCTAGGTCACATATCAAACTGAGTTATTTTTGGATAAGAACAAAGATTATGTCGTTCCAGAGCATCAAGCAGTCCTCATTGCTTCAAAATGTTCCTTTATCTCAAACTTGTTTCCACCCCTACCCGAAGAAAGTTCTAAATCAGCAAAGTTCTCCTCCATTGGTACCAGATTTAAGGTAGGTTTTCAAACATTGATAGGGTTTGCTACTGCTCAAACTGGTATTTATGGTTAAGGAAACCTCTGAAAACCATTTTGGAAACCTACTCTAGTTTGATGTTATGAAAATAATACTACCTTGTACATGATGTAGCAACAATTGCAATCATTGCTTGAGACACTCAATGCCACAGAGCCTCACTACATTCGCTGTGTTAAGCCAAATAATCTTCTAAAGCCAGAAATCTTCGAGAATCCAAATGTACTTCAGCAACTTCGCTGTGGGGTATGCTTTTATAATTCCTAACAATACAAAATGATGATTGTATTTTCAAGCTTGGTCAATGAGTAGTTACATATTTCCAGGGAGTTATGGAGGCAATTAGGATCAGTTGTGCTGGATTCCCCACTCGGAAACCATTTGATGAATTTGTTAGTCGTTTTCGTGTCCTGGTTCCTGAGCTTATGAATCGCGGGTATTTTGATTTCATTAGTAACTTTTCAGTGTCTGAGATTTCTATCTTTTGTTAATAGAACTTTCGATTTTCCTGTTGTATGCTCTTACTTCTTTTCACCACTTCCTCTCACGACTCTTTTAATTGATAGTCACAAAGACGTCGAACTTTGCAAACGCGTTATAGAGAAGGTTGGCCTCAAAGGTTATCAGGTACTGTATTTGTCTTTACTAATGTGGCCTCAGTTGGAAATAAATGGAATGTTGATCACAACTAATTGATTCAGGATGGAAGAGTGTCTTTTCCTCCATTATGGTAATAACACATTGATATCTCCACCTCAACTAAAAGTTTAAGTTGTTAGAGAGATGCATTCATAATTTTACTATCATTCTCAACATGCCACTCAATGTGGGAATATGTGTCTAGCATGTGGAGTATTGGACCTTGCTGAAAAGACACACATGGGTGGTGACTGGTGGGAACAGGAACTGAACCTGCTCTGATACATACTTCATCTTAACTAAAAGATTAAGCTGTTAAAGAGGAGTGTGACAGTTGTGTCTTTATACTCTATATCCAAGTGACTGTTATTTTGCTATTCAACATTTATGGCTTGTTCTTTGTGTTGACCAAAAGTTCTTGCAGATTTAATTGTTCAATTCCATATTTATTCCTTTTATTTACAGTTGGAAGTTAATTACCTCTGTTTTGTTTTCATTTAAACTGTTAGCTATTTATCATGCAACACATTGGAGGAACAATTTATCTGGCAAAAGTTATGTGGTCTAGTAAGCTGGTTTGTCACATCCATCAAATATGATAAGATGTTTACTGCTCATATATCAATTACTATTTTGAAAATATCTTATTTGGCTATTTGAAACATTAAATATGTTTATAAAATACTAGAGCATTCCACACCTAAGGTTATGTATGTATATATGTGAATGTTGATGAGCTTTTTGTGTAGTTTGTGCTAACAATAGTTCATTGCAGATTGGAAAAACAAAGGTGTTTCTTAGAGCTGGTCAGATGGCGGAACTAGACTCTCATCGAAACGAGGTCCTTGCAAGATCTGCATGCACTGTTCAGAAAAATGTCCGCAGATACTTTTCCCGCAGAAAGTATATCATATTGCGGGGTTCAGCCATAGGAATCCAAACTGCGTGCAGGGGTTGGTCTAGAACACTCTATCTTGTTTTATTGATTCAATAATATAAGCTTGAAACTTCCTTAACCTAATCATGGAGGTGAAAACAGGTAAACTGGCACGCAACCTCTTTGAACGCAAGAGGAGAGAAGCGGCTTCTCTGATGATGCAAAAGTGTGCACGAATGTTCATTGCAAGGAGACATTATAGAATATTGTGGGCTTCAGCAGTGTCCATCCAGACCCCAATGCGCCGGATGGCTGCTCGTAATGAGTTTAAATATAGAAAAGAAACAAAAGCAGCCATCTTAATTCAGGTACCAAATTTAGCTGAGTTATGGGCAAATAGTAGTTTTGGCAAGATCAACTCGTTCAAGCTCTTACTTCCAAGATAATCAATTCCAATCACAAATGAATATGACATAGTGGCCATGTTTAGTTTTAGGGGATACAATACAATAGGTACTTTTATCTTATCCAGTGGCCATAGCAGGTTCTTAGAGACTGGAGTGTCAACCTTTATTATTAATTCTCCTCATTTATTTTCCTTCTTAAGTGGAATTACTTATTTATCTCTAGTCCTATCATGCCGGATTCTGTGACAACCCAACAGGGTTAATGTGCCACCAAAACACGAAATACGTAAGATTTATGTCAAGTTTATGTCATTTAGTTCTACTGAAACTGATATATATTAAAGCTTGATCTTTGACTACTGTTCCAACTAATGGTTTCCAAATATTACGTAAACCCTTAGCTTGATGTTTTGACCTGCCCAACGTACAGCCCTAATTCTTTCTTGTAGAAACTGGAACTTATTAACTGTGAAATATTTGTACTTGGAATACCTATGCAATCTGTTCAAGTTTTTCTATCTTACAAATTGCCTATTTTTATACTTTACACTTCCAATACTTGCATAAGAGCAAACCATCTTAGACTCAATAGTTATTTTCAAAATCAATTCATGGTCTTCTAAATTACATTCTAGACCCATGTAAGGTATGATCTGTCTATCATACTCTAAAAAATCTCGTGTGCATCTTTGTGTTTAACTGAATTAAATTTGATTCCAGAGACATTGCCGTGGACACTTGTCACGCCTGTCTTATAAGAGGATGCATAAGGCTGCGATTGCTCTACAATGTTTTTGCAGGGTTACATTTGCCCAAAATGAACTACGCAGGCATCAGCGGGTGAGAATTCATTTTTCTAGTTGGCTTCTGTTTCTCTTTAAGCACTGCTACTGCAGGCAAGCTACTCTGCCTGTTTTTATTAGTTTTTGCATACATCGTTCTCCCCATTTTTCACCTAAAATGCCTCAGAGTAGTTAGTAATTTTAAGTATGTTTATACTTTATACTATGTTATAAATGGATTTAGAACAATGGATAATGTTTCTTTTATAAGGGTTGCTTTCTCTGCTAACTTAGGTAGTCTGGAGATTACTGACCAAAGCTGAATCATAATCATCTGTTTGTTGCCTTAGGACTATTAATCGTTGTAGGCAACATATTTAGAATTCTATTTTGTGGGTCAGTTAATACTACTGCCATTGCTTGCTTGGTTCATTTTGCCAGCGATTTTATTCAAGGAGATCCAGTATTACCTTTGTCTCATTCCATTTTTTCACAAATTTAGAAGGTCAGCCTTTGTCAAAAGTTATTCAAATTTATCATGTAGTCACGAGGATTAGAAAGCATGGAGACATGTACAATATCAACTGGCACTACTTGTCACCATTGTCTTGCATTCTTTCAAACAAACTGGTGAATATGTCTAAAGGGAATGGATAAGTCTAAAGAAAATCCAGTATTATGATGCAATAAATTTTGAATTGCTATGAAAAAGCAAGATCAAATTTGATGAATTTTGCAGCACCATGAAAAATGTTTTTAAATCTTTGCCTTGATGGAATTTGTTTATGATTGCTATAGGATATCTGTTGACTGTCTTGATTTTTCTTGTCTAAGTCAGGCAGCAAAAGAATCAGGTAATCTGCAAAAACAAGTTGAAGAGCTAACTGAGCAATTGCGTATGGAGAAGCGCCAGAGGGTAAGTATGCTTCCTTGATGATGGAAATGATGTTAGCCTTCTATCCGAGATTCTTCACATTTTTCTGGATACACATTTTGAAGCTATTCTGTACAAAGCCAATGCTTGTTTTCTTTAATGTTTTCCCCTAGCCTTCAGTCTTACCTGGAATGGGACAAATAATTACATTTCTGTAGCATGGTTTACCAAATTTTTAGTTTCATGTTAAAGTTACATACATGTGACAGTTCATGACATTTCTTCAGATAGGTTATATAGACTAGAGAGAAGAATGATCTGCACTCAAATGAATATCTGAATGGAACAGAAAATTCTGCCTATGCTACTGAATTGAAATGTTTGAAACATCAGAGCCGCTATGAAGTCTCAGTAAATTTGGTTATCTGATTATACATTTATGATCTTTGTGATAACCTGAAGGAAAAATGAAAGAAAATATGATCACCTTGCTTCTACTTTCCAATTACGTTTCATTTTTTTTAATCATTTTAATAGGTTGAATTGGAGGAAGCCAAAACCCAGGAAATTTCTAAACAACAGTCTGCTTTAGGAGAAATGGTGGAAGCCAAAACCCAGGAAATTTCTAAACTACGGTCTGATTTAGAAGAAGTGAAGGAAGCCAAAACCCAGGAAACTTCTAAACTACAGTCTGCTTTAGAAGAAATGGAAGCCAAAACCCAGGAAATTTCTAAACTACAGTCTGCTTTAGAAGAAATGGAAGCCGCCAAAACCCAGGAAATTTCTAAACTACGTTCTGCTTTAGAAGAAATGGAAGCCGCCAAAACCCAGGAAATTTCTAAACTACGGTCTGATTTAGAAGAAATGAAGCTTCGGTTTGAAGAAGTTAAACAATTTCCCACAGACATTGGAAAGACTGCTAGCGTGGAGGAAGCCAAAACCGTGGAAAAAGCAAACCTACAGTCAGCAGAAAAGATTGATGAGCAGATGATTGCTGCCCAAGTGGTCATTGATCGTGATGATCCTGAAGCGTTTAATAAGCTTACTGATGAAAATGCAAAGCTTAAGGTGAAGTTGTGAGTTTTTTATGTATGCCTTGTGTTCTTTAAAGAGAAGTTGGCTTGCTAAGATCCATATTGCATGCATGTTTGCCACTGCCGCCATAATCTGTTCATTCTTATGTGTGTAGGGTTTAGTTGCCTCACTGCAGAAGGACCGTGATGAAAAAGACAAGCAGCTTATGGATGCAGAGTCCAAAGTAATTGAGCTAAAGACCGAAAACCAGAGGTTGAGACTTGTCTATTCATCAAATATACAACTCAGCCTAAAATAATTGAAAACAACTATACTCAAGATTATTTATTTATTTATTTATTTATTTTTCATTTTGATGTACAATCTTTGAATCTTATACCTCATTATCATCTGAGTTCGGTGAAGCTGGAGCATCATATTCACTTCTTTTTTTTTCCTGGATTGTTTTTGGCTTTGCATCTTATGTCAGGGTTAATGAGTTAAATTCTGATTTTGAAACTGAAGTCCAGATACTTAGACAACAAGCATTGTTGAATTCAGAGTCCAGAAGAATGTCTGGACACCTTTCAGGAACCCCTGAGGTCATGATGCCACAAATCTTTTATTTTTAGGTTTCTCTTTGAGATGTTTCTTACTAATCTTTTATTTTCTGTTGCAGCTTTCAGAGAATGGTGATCAAGTGAGTGAAAAAATTCAGCTACTTGCTTCTTTTTATCATGCATTGTATAATGATTGCTTAATCTGGGATGATTAATGTTTGAAGATTATCTATATAGGAAGATGAAAATGTGTCACCCAAGGAACTCGGCTCAGAAGCTGATAGGCAGATGAGCAGATCCCAAAATGAGAGGCAGCGGGTCAGTTTGTTATTAGAACATGAATTATCTGATAATAATGAACTTATTTCTTTCTGATAAGCAGTATGTGTTTACTTACAACTTGATTTATTTTCATAAATTTCAACTATGTACCATAAATAAATTGCTCGCACTTAGTTCAATTATTAGATCCCAGAGTCACTCTTTGAAATTACACTATGTGTAGGACCTTAAAAGAATTCGATCATTTTTTATGATCTTCTACTGGTGTTGGTTGTGACCTCTACATTATCACTATTTGGTATAATATAATAGAGAGGGTGTAGATAGACATTACTTTCCCTATCCTATGAAAAGAAACCAATGAAACTATAATAAAGAATCTAACTCTAACCACGAATGATAATTTTCTGTGGTTTTTATTTGTAACATTATGCTCTCTCATCTATGGATATTGAGAAAAGTAGATCAAAACATGGGAAAACAGTACTACAGTGTCTAAGATAAGTTGCCCCAGATGTTGTTGATTCCATTGACATTTCCGTGTGAGATCTTTATAATTCCAATGGTTGTGGCATGGATTATTAACCATGGCTGTGCGAGCTGAGAGGAACTACTGCCTCTCCTGGCCTAGAAAACAACAGGACCGACCATCAGCCATAGGTGTCTTTAGTTGGGAGCCAGAGGTTAGCAGAAGTTTATCAGTAGTAAGGGCAAGTTAAAGCCTTCTGGAGCCTAGTGTACTTTGCTTTTATTTCTTAATTAAACTGGCGGTAGTATAAATAACAGTAGAGGAAAATGTAGAAGAGAAAACAAATTGTTATTTATCGGAACCTTTCTAAATAGCAACTTTGAGCAAGAATTTTTAACTAGAAACTCTACTTGATGGAAATAATATATGACAGACAGCGAATGTCTCTATAGATAGCTTTTTGTTTTCAAGGCTTAAACTTAGTTATCATTTTTATTGTAATTCATGCAGTCAGCAGTGTTGAGCTTGCGAAAAGAGCTATCTTGTTTATCTTTCCATCTACTTGTGGTAGTGAGGTCTAGTAATGATTACTCAGGAACATAGAAGGAATAAGAATTCAAATAATACCATGAACCCATATACAGTTGATCACTATAATGGCTTTTAACTTTGAATCAAATGCTTATCACATTGGTGCATAGCAATCACTAATCAAAAGAAGGGTGCACCAAGCGTTGGGTGCTGGGTTCACTTGTACTGTTGTACATGAATTGGAAAAGGAATTGCATATCTTTGGCAAAAAATTAGCCTTGTGGAGGAAGATGAAAGATAATGTTTTATTCTGTTCATATTTTTGACAGATGAATACAGTGCAGAAATGCTACTAACTTATTTTATGTTCTATCCCACTGTTGCAGGAGAGTGTTGATATTCTTATCAGATGTGTCACAGGATATATAGGGTTCAGTGAAGGAAAGCCAGTTGCCGCATTTACCGTATACAAATGCCTTCTCTACTGGAAATCCTTTGAAGCAGAGAAAACTAATGTATTTGACCGTCTCATTCAGATGATTGGTTATTCTATAGAGGTGATTGCCCATACCTTGGATAAATTAGTGATATGGCTATCCTACAATCTGAATGTGATTGTGAGATCTGGTCTTATTTATTATCATCTATTTATGGAAAATGCGCCATAAAGCCTCCTCCATCATCAAAATTCATTGAGAAGTTTGCTCATTGTGCATCCAAAGAAAGGAAAAAGTATGACATTATGACTTGCTGCTTGCTCATCTTGTTTTTAACCCATCATTTGCCCAAATAGAGCTTAACAAGTACTGCAAATACCAATGTGTGTGTGAGGAAATGTCTATGGTGCTGCATGCTTGAACCTTATCTGAGGAGCTCTCCAGACTCTTATTCCATTCAAAATGTTCAAACTCGAGACTTTGCTTATGTTAAGGGAATCCAAGCTCTTTTTACTTGAATCATAGGTCGTTGATATGCTTGGTAAAAATGTATTATGTGCTTTGCCTGTGATATAAAGAGGGAGAGAGCACAACTATCTGCCAGCTATACTAGAGCTTGTCTAGTAACAGAGGATGCTTATGAATCTTGCTACTACTACTAATCTTGAAAATGTTTCTTCTCTCAGAATTCCCTGCCAGTTTAACTCCTAAAGTTTTCCTGTTTAAATATATGTTTGGAAAAAATTAAAATAAATCTTAAGATAAAGTCTGCTTTTTAATGTGCTTGTTTTCCTGTAATGTCATTCACAGGATGAGACAAACAACAATCACATAGCATATTGGATGTCAAACACATCTATGCTATTGTTTCTACTTCAACAGACACTAAAGGCTACTACTTCATCTCCACTTCAAACTGCCCAACCAACATCCTTTTTGGGAAGGATGTTTAGGTCATCTTTTACTGCATCCAGCCTCTCAATTCGTGGGCTTGATGGTATCAAACTGGTTGAAGCAAAGTATCCTGCTTTGCTGTTCAAGCAACAGCTCACTGCCTATGTAGAGAAGATTTATGGAATCCTTAGAGATAACATGAAAAAGGACCTTTGGCTTCTACTTCCTTCATGTGTCCTGGTATCAAATTTTCCTTTTTAAAGTTGGCTTATGTGACACACACTTCTACATTAGGTTTTTTGTAGGAAAAAAGCTAGTATGATTGTTCTCATTGATTAAAGAGTTATTTATAGGTAATGCAATAGATATCACTGATAAAGTATATGCTGAAATCAAACTTAAAAAATAACAAACTACATCCCTAATATCTGTAAAGAGCAATAATTCAAATTCAAAATTAGTAGCTAAAAATCATATCAAAGTAGAATATCTAATCTAAAGAATACACATTTCAACCTTCCTTGATTCTTTTGCTGTAAGCTCCCGTATTCCTCCTCAATTGCTCAAACCTTGACTTAGGTAGTGCTTTTGTTAAAATATCAACCAATTGCTTCAGTTTTGCAAGGCAAAAGAATCTTCCTGTTATTCTGGACTTCCAAAGCATGCGATTTTATTTTGAAATGCTTGTTCCTGCCATAGAAACTGGAGTATTTGAAATTGAGAATGCAGTTTGGTTATCAACAAAAATCTCAGTTGTTTCTCTTTAAATGAAATTCAAATCTGTCAGTGACTTTCTCAACCAAATTGCTTGATTCACTGAAGCAGTCTATGTAGTGTATTTCATACTCCATAAGTAATAGTTCCTTGAAAAAATCTATGCACTTTGTTTGCAGCCCTGAAAAGAATTTCACGTGCACAATATATAGATATTGAAGTGAACTCACAGAGCACATGATATAGGTCTTGTTGCTATCAAGTACACCAATCACCCTACAAGGTTTCTGTATGTCTTGTCATCTATCTTTTTATACCAATCTCTTGTAGTTTGTTTTAGGCAATAGAAAGATTTCTTGAGAAAGTACACGTTGTCTTTGCTTCCTTTCACAACAAAATCTTCAGCTTTCTTGATGTAGATTTCTTCCTTTTAAGTACCCATTGGGAAATGTAGACTTGAATCAAGTAGAAAAATCTTCCATTCTTGCTGAGTTGCTAATTCAAACAGAAATCTTATGGCATCAAGTCTTGCTACTGGAGCAAATATTTCTGAAAAATAAACACCATACTATTTTGTAGCACTCACTACTAGCATTATTTTGAGTGCATTAAGAGAACTATCAACATTCTATATGCTTCTGAATGCCAACTTTAGCATTCTTGTGTCAACCAAAACACATGGGTCTCTTTCTTTTTAATCATTTTTAGCTTGTCCTTCCATCTTGATCAAATACAACAATACTACATCCTTCATAAATATCAGTTATGGATGACTGGATGTTGTACCTGTTGCAGGCTCATGGTCACTTGCTTCATCCCCAAACATTTCAATATCTTGTTCCTAAATTGATTGGAGAACTATTGATGTATTCTTTTAGGCTCCACTTCTAATTTCTCCCAATCCCAAGTTCCAAGTTTATTAATCATTTAAACCTGATACCATTTCTGTTAACAGTTGATATATATTGTAGCCTTTAGTGATATTGCTATACACAACAAAGATTCTAGTGTCAGACTTCTAGTCGAGCTTGTCTCTCTTTAATTTTGGCACATGCGTGAACCACAATCAACCACTCTTTGGTGCAGAATAGATGGGATTAATCCATGCTAAGTCTCAAAAGGAGTATTCTTTTTCAATACTTTTTCTTGGCATTCTTTGAGCAAGTAGACTACAGTATTGACTACTTTAGCCCAAACTTTTGCTGGCCAATTGTCTCAAAGAGTAAACACTTTGTCATATCTACCATCATTTTGTTCTTTCACTACTCTATTTTGACGTGGAGTGTAAATTATTGTTAACTGATGATTGATTCCTGCATCCTCACAAAACTCGCTAAACTTCTTAGAATGAATGAATTGCATAATTCTATTACATTTTTTTCTCAAATCAACACACTGCAATTAAGAATTTCTGAGCAGAAATACAATCAACACTAACAATTACAATACTCTGAGCTAAACGGGGATGGAATACCCTTTATACCAAAAATCTCCATATAGGATTGCTTTTGTTGGGGTTTGAATCCTAAACCTTTAGTCAAGGGTGTCTCACCTGAGTCACCTCTATCATTTTGATCATGGGTCATTGGCAATAAATCTATTATTAGTTAAACAAGATGATAAGTGGAATTTTAAATTTCTCTATTTTTCTATTTCCATTTATTTTTTTTTATCAAGTTTGTTTCTAAATCCAGTACCCCACCTGTGTTTAAAATTTTATTAGGTGTGGCTCTGAGTTGTATACTTGTAAGTGCATATGATTTTTATGTAATCAATTTGTCTCTTTCAACCAGGAAACTCTGTGCATGAACTCTATCTACGTGTACCAATTTTCAAATATCTAATATCTTTCTACTCATCGTATTTAGGCACCTCAAACAGCAGATGGAAACTCTTCAACCGGTCCCTGGCAAAGCATCACTGAGAACCTTAACAGACTTCTCGACATACTGAAAGGAAATTATGTAAGAAAATGTCCAACTCAAACATTGTGTCTGTTGATGTATATATAAATATTAAATATAAATATATAATGCTACTGAAATTGTTGTTTCAGGTATTTCCATTTTTTATCCAGAATATTTTTTCTCAAATTTTCTCTTACATGGATGTACAGTTATTTAACAGGTAGTGTTTCTATCTTTCAGTTCTAATTCTATATTCAAATGATTATAGCAGGTAACTACAACTCTTCTCCTAACATTATTAAAACTACAGCCTCCTTAGCAAAGATAAATGTACTCTCAAAAATGGGGAATATGCCAAAACTGGGTTAGCTGAAATAGAACGATGGTGTGGGCAGGCAACAGAAGAGGTACTCTAATATAAATGTATTGGTACACCCTAAGCACATATATGATGTCTTTACAGTGTAACAATATCTTGATTTACGTAGTAATGTCAAACATGTTGATGCAGTATGTTGGTTCCTCTTGGGATGACTTAAAACATGTAAGGCAGGCTGTAGGATTGTTGGTATGTTTTCTTGTTTGCTTTATGACAAAGTAGTTTCGATGTTAAACATGATTTCATATTCTTTGATAGAAGACCAACTTTTATGTCATGGGTGGAGCGCTTTGCAACTATGGACTTTAAGGCAGTAGTGAGATGACTTTCTTACCAGTCTTCTGACTTAAACCGATTTAAAATTTTCAGGTTCTGCAAGACAAAGCAAAGATTACATACGATGATCTTACAACTGACTTGTGCCCTGTAAGATATTTTATATGAGTACTCAATGCTTTTCTTGTTTCATTGTACTCGGGTTTGGGGACCTCATCTATCATGAATCCATTGATGCCAGTCGTGGCAAGTAATTGTCTTTAATTCCTTTTTAAATGCTTAGGATGGGAAGCACTACCTACTACAAACTAGAAATCAGGAGTTGTGTGTAGTAGAGATGCATGCACAAGTTTGAGTTTTGATTATTCATTCACATTGCCATCTTCTAATATTTTTCCAGGCTCTGAGTAGTCAACAGCTTTATAGAATATGTACACTTTGCGTGAATGAGAAGACTACTGAAGCTGTGTCCCAAGATGTGAGTTTCGTTTTTCCTTTTCTTTCTCTTTTATCTTCCTCTCTACAGGTTTGACAGTGAAAATGGATAGTCAGGGAATATAGAGCTTGAATTGTACGAGAATCCAAAATTTTGTATTATATACGATATGCTACCATTTCTGTGGCACTGAAAGAAAGACCTTGAATTTTGTAGGTAATTTCAAGAATCAAGTTACTATTAGAGGATTCGGAAGAAGCTGCCAGTAGTAACTCTTATATGCTGGATGACAGTTTGATGAGGTATCATATTAAGAAAGAAGTTTCAATTCGGTCGTTAAATATATGGAAACTGGATGTATATATGTGTATTAATATTGAAGCTAATTAAGGATCTGGCATTTTTCGTTTTCCTGCAGTGTCCCCTTCTCAACTGAAGGCCTTTATCTTTCCCTCAAGGATATTGATTTTACTGGTGTGAAAACTGCTGAAGAACTCAATGAAATTCCAGCCTTTGATTTTTTAAAAGAATAAGGCCAGTAATTCAGTGGTTTCTTCAGCACTACACTACACTTACTTGTTCAGACTTTCCCACGTAAATATCAGAAAGATGATTGTATTAGATGAAGGGTTCTACTTGCATCCATGGCACCATGCATGCATGCATGCATAATTGTATATATATACACAACAGCATCATATCCACCACCCCCCAGGCCAGGCCATTATATTACAGATCAGAGTTGTTTACTTCCAAATTTTGTAAAATTTTAGGTGTACTGTAGTAGAAGGATATATAGAGAGCATTGTTACTTTGAATTATCCTGCAGCTTACTAGCTTAGTACATATATAGAGATATGATCGAACTACCTGGCCTGTACTGTAGCCAATTCATGGCAACATTCTTGATTGTGTTTGTACTGGGGTAAAAGGCACTCAAAATATAGAATAAAGTTTGTTTTTTTTTTTTTTTTTTTTCCAATAAATATTGTTTCTCCAAACTTAGCTTCAATTTAATTGTCCATTATGGTATTGTATGACATGAATATATGATGTTATCACAGTGATTACTCACTAGCATACATGCATATAGTACTTTTAACTTCAGCTTTATATTATATTTGTCGCACTTTTTAGCAAATTAAAATATATAAATCAAAATTAGAAGGTGATTACTCCAAAATAATGATTATGTTTATAAAAAAATAAAAATTGAAGCGCATACAGAACTGGAGATCAACAGATTTAGTGTAAATTATTAGTATACTACTACATATTCATTTTTAGTGTATTATAAGTTCATTTTGACTTACAATATACTAAAAACAAATATCTATCAAAGTATAATGAACTTACTAAAAATAATATATAATATGGAGTACACTACAAATGAATATGTATTAATATAATTTTCCTTAATCAAATCTCAAGTGTGTGATTTTTTTAATTTACATTAACAGTGTATTTAATATTTAATTAAGAATGTAATTGTATTCAATTATTAACAACACAATTAAAAAAAGAATATTAACTGAATATTTAATTTTTTTTCCCTGTCTGATGAGAGAGATCAGAATAGTTGCTCCTTGGGGGCAAAAACTAACAATATGTATTTATGTAGGTTTAGGTTTAATTTTCTGATCTATTTATGTGTATTTATATTAAAATTAAATAATGTGTGTGTTTAGATTTAAAGAAGACATTTGGATCATGTGTATTTAGTTTAAAATAATACATTTAATGAATATATCGTAAGTATTTATGCAAAACAATGTATGTGTAGGGTACAAATTGTGTGTATTTAGCCTAAAACAATGATGGTAAAATGTGTCAATCTAATACCTATATAGTTTATCACTGATGCATGGAAAACTTGTGTATATATGATAACAATGGAAGTTCTATATATTTACATAAAAATGCTATTATATATTTTTCATTTAAATAATATATGGATCATATGCATTCAAACCACTTCGGCAAAACCAATATTTCCTTACCTAACAACCTCAAATCACCTACTCTAATACCAATAGTTAGATTAAACGTTTACCATTACTCCAAAAGTTATAACTAATAGTGAATATGAAACTTTATTTCTTTATACTTATATAACAGTTAACCAGTTAACGTCATATTTTAATGGTAGAATATAATATAATGTTTGACTATGTCCTATAAACCTCTGTCCAACAACATTTCTTATATATATCCATATAGGAGGTACATCAGATAAAAGTCTAATAATTCAAGTGCAAATGTATGCATTCCGCATCACTATGAAGTGCATTTTCATACATGCACGCATATATAGTGTACTTAAGAATATTTGTCGCTCTGAAAGTACACCGCACAAAATTACAAATACATTTGATGATATATAAAAATGCATTAAGCTAAGATAGTTGCACGGGTACATAGCATAGAATGTACCTAATAGTGTTACGAAGTGCTTTCAAAGTTTGAGATAATTACGAAATTATCATTATATTTTTTTTTTCTTGTTTTAGAACGATTGATCCTATCAAATCTTGAAATTTCAATTTTCTTTTCAACATTGGTTTTCACTTGATGAACATGTCCTGATGTTTATATATAAAATCATAATGATTGTTACTCGCTATCCAATGATAGACTAACATCACCTCGATTGTTGATTTCTCAAGCATATATCTATGTAACCATCCATGATTAGAAAATGAACAAAATGCAATTGTTAATTAATGAGAATCTCAAATTTCATTCAACTTATTATTATATCCAATAATGTCAGGATTAATATAATTATAATTAGTACCTAAAGTGTAACAAAAATATTGGTTGATCAAGCAGCACATGCATGGTAGCTTATAGTTCATCAATTTATTGAGTCTTGTTAAGGCACAACATATATAATTGAACATTATATTAACTCTTGCAGAAATGTACGGTCTTATTAGTTATTATCAATTAATTAAGGTCATGTGATCACATGAATTCCCATGTTTTCTTCTTCCTCATTCATTCGGTCTTCCTCTTAGTTTACATAGCTTTTGACTTTCCATATGATGTGTATCATTTGTTTACATACAACATTTCAGTTATTTCAGTTACGGAGCCAGTTGAATGCATACATTAGAATACTATATATCTATTTAATGTGTATATCTATGGGTATACCACCATATATAAATGAAGAGTACGTATTTTTTGTTGAAGATGTGGTACTTAATTAGTAGATAGGATTTTTTTTTTTTCATGACTATAATTTGTTTCGATATTCATTTCAAACCCAAATTCAAAATCTCTTATTAAGTTAGAAGAGATCCATACCATCTTCTTCGTATCCTATGAGCTTATTTATTTTTAAAAAATGTATGTCAAGTTAAGTGTCTCTCAACAAACACTAAAAGCAAATTTCATGAATGTTATTGAGTGAATTTGCATTTGAAAATAAGTATGATTTTAAAGAGTAAATTTCACTTTTAGTCCTCAACTATTGTGATTTTATCATATTTAAATTTCTAGGCAGTTGTCTCACTTTTAGGCTCTGTTTGGCAGAGCTTATAGCGTATTTTAAGCTACTAATAAGCTATAAGCTTTGTTTGGTAATGTTCCCAAAATAAGTTCCTAGCTTCTTAACTTTTTTTTTCCATCTTTATCCTTATTATTTTAAAGAAATGACATAAATTACCCTTTCCAATTAAAACCCTTTTCTCTTCTCCTTTATCCTCAATTTTCACTGCAAATATTATTATTATTATTATTATTATTATTATTATTATTATTATTATTATTATTATTATTATTATTATAAGATTTGCAACAATATTGTTATTTCATTATGAGATGCTAGATCATGATTATGCTAATAGTTTTATTTTAAAATGTTAATTTTTTTTTAAAGACAAAATGTTAAATTTTAATATGTAAACAAACTAATTTAAATTTTATGAAGATGTCCTTTTTAGTCTTTTTACATTTATCAGCTTATCAAAAAGCTAATTTTACCAAACACTTTCAATCATAACAGCTAGTTAACAGCTCTTCAGTTTTCAGCTCCGAGCTTATAGCTTTTCAGCTTTCAGCTCCTAGCTTATTGCTTTTCAGCTAGGTTTGCCAAACAGAGCCTTAGAGGTGCTTACAATTTATTAGGGAATTAGTCACTGTTTTTGACGATGAATACACTGGGTTACACTAAAAAATTGTGACATTGTCATATTTAGTCTTGTTTAATTTTGTTACATTACATTTTTAACTTTTATTATTTGCTTACCACAATTAATCACTTTTTAAAAATTTTGTTATTCCACCATTTAATAAGTATAACTAACATGCAATTTTATTAATTGTATGATAAAATTAATTGTTAGGTGTGCTCTATTTATTAAACGGTGAAGTGACAAAAATTTAAAAAGATGATGATTAATTGTGCTGAGCAAATAAAAGTCAAGAATATAATGAGACAAAATTATAATCGATGACTACAAGTGAAATTTACTCGACTTTAAATTAAACTTAATGTATGAGTCATCATTTATTTTTATTTTTTTTAAAAGATAAATATAATATTGAAAAGTTAAAAGCAATCCCACATTAATGTGTTTGAATTCGTGTCAAGATTCAAGCTTTTAGGTTCTTTGGATTTAGACAATTTGATTAGGGAACCTGAAAATTAATTGTGATGGGGCACATGAAATCTAGGAACTACTTTGAAATCAATTAAGTTACAAATCTAATCTAATCTTAATACAATGAATGAACTGTCAAAGCATTTAAGAATTGAGCACTCTTAATAATTACTTGCCCCAACAGTTAATACAAAAACCGTATGCTTCAAAGGTGGTCTCTGTCCCTTAATAACCTATCTTTTTTCTTCTTATTCTTAATCTTATTTAATAATAAATATCGGAATCAAATTCATCACTTTGCTAATGACTGGGAAATGAATAATACATCTAGAGAAGAGCTTGAAGTGTCTCTAAAAGGTCATTTGGATCGGATGAGCAGCGGTTGGAGCAATAAGATCAAACAGTCTTTCACTATTTCAATAATAGAAATTTTAACGAGAAAAAAAAAAAGAATAGTGATTGAATAGTTGAAATGTTTTGATTTCACGGTTAAAATAATAATTTAACTATTTCAATATCACCACTCTTTTAAATGCATCTTTGAATTAATCGTTAATTAACATGGTGAAAAAAAAAATTGTGATAGAGATTAAAATTGATATATCCCTCTAGAGATGTAAGGGTTAGTTTCAGGTTTCATGTTTGACTCTCATGAGAGCTACTTATTGACCTTCTTGATTTGAATTGATCAGTTATGAACAATTTAAATTAGTTTACCTTTTTATCAATAGGATTACAAGATGCGTTTAATTTAAAGCATATATTTGTGTAGTGATTGTGAACTTTTTTTAATCAAAGTTTTAGGTGATGTATCGGCGGGTAAAAGGAAGTGTTCATTCATTCGATCAAATCCTAACTACCGACCTCATTAACTGAATCTCATTATTGGGAAATAAAAACCACCTCAAATAAATGTCGAATAATTTTTAGCGAAATGTGTGCTGACACATGCACCACTTACTATACGTCTATACATATATGCTTATATAATAATTCCAAGCATATACTATTTAATTGGAATTATATCAAGTTTAATCTCTGTTTTATTTTATTGCATATATCTTTTTGAGTGTCCTACCATGACCTACACAATGATTAGGGCATGCAAATGATGATTATTAATTAGATACATACCACTTTCACTTTCTAACATATCATTAATAAATTAAATGAGAGATAGCATCAATAATAATAATAATAATAATAATAATAATAATAATAATAATAATAATAATAATAATAATAATAATAATAATAATAATAATAATACATTCTTATTATCTTATTACACTAAGACACAACTCAATTGGTTGATCAATGCAAAATAAGTTTTTAGTTTTGCTTTGTTAGCCGC